CATCCAATACCAGCATCTTGATGGAGCGAGTACGCAATGCACGGCGAGAAATCATGTCACGAACGCGGCCCGGCGTTCCAGACACTATGTGTTGGCCATACTCTAGCTTCCGGATATCCTCTCCAACATTGGTACCACCAATGCACGAATGACACTGCACATTCATATGGTCTCCAAGTGCTAAAACCACTCTCTGAATCTGTGTTGCCAACTCACGAGTCGGTGAGAGGGCTAGAACCTGCGTTTCACGAAGCTGGGTGTCCAAAATCTGCAATGAAGAGATTGAGAAAGTAGCTGTCTTTCCAGTACCGGACTGTGCCTGCGCAATCACATCTCTTCCACTGGTTATTGGTTTGATGGACCGTTGCTGAATAGCAGATGGCTTCTCAAAGCCGTAAGCATAAATTCCTCGCAAAAGTTCCTCACGTAGACCCATACTATCAAAGGTCGGTGTAACTTGCACTTCCTCTGAGGTTTCGAACACAACATTTGATAGGTCTGCATCGTTCCCCTTCACTTTCCTGGTCGCCATTGTGCCGAACCTTCACTGCCACTTCAAAGCAAATCGAACGGCGAAGGAAGAACATTCATCGCTCGACAATTGAGCTCAAAACAAAAGGAAAATAAATGCTCAAGCGCACAAATCTAATGTCGAGAAACCACGCATGCAAAAAAATAAGGTTTTTCGCGCGGGCTAGCCGTATGACAATTCACCGAAAGACACTTCAACGAAAGACAAATCATCGGCAGGACTTTTGCCAGCACGAGCAGTCGAGCACCCTCGACCTCGTGTGAGTCGTGACGTTGCAGATATGGCTTGGTAGATCTACATGTAATCAGTGTAATGATGTAGACTTTGTAGTTGACGTTGATTGAGTCGTGTGAAGAAGTCAGGTACAGTAGGATTCAGTATAGAGCAGTAGTGGAACGTGTGTGGTAGTCTTTGCCGATTTTTGAGGGTATCCTGGATTTGGTTTGCAGCGCTGTGGAAATGGCTTGCTGTGGAGGTCCCAGCACTGGATGTTGTATCAAAGGTACGACCTCGTAGCACGCCCTGAACCTAAAAAATTTCAAAAAATAATTGACTTGGATCTCCGGGAGTCTGTGAGAGAACGCCCACTCCTGCCGTTGTGACAGATTCCAGGGCCACGTTGAAGGGCCCTATCCCGCCACCCATGGCTGCTTCTGGACTTTTTTTAGGTTTGGATCCCGCGCACGGACAGAATTGGCTAGAAAATGTGAAAAAAATTGTAAATGTATTAAATTTTGTTTGGCTCCTGGGTGACTCGCATACCGTGGCACTGTGCCGGAATTTTGAGTTTTTCCGGCCTGGAAAGCCTGCCAGTGAGGCGCAAGAACTTTTAAAATTAATCATGTCCAGAGGGCCAGCATAGTGGCAGGAGTGTGTGGTGCAAATTTCACTCAAATCCATTGAGAGAGCAAAGTTACGGTCAATTGAATGCCATAATGAATTATTTACGACCAGGCTGCTACCTTAAGGGGGCAGCCTGGTCCTAAAATCCCTGAAAAATCGAATTTGTAAATTCATATCGAGTGCTACATCAGCATGAATAGCTGCAAAATCTCTGAAAATCTTGTCTCGATCTGACCAGCCGTTCAAGAGTTATGGCCGAAAATGTGCCCTTGCAAGGAAAGATTTTTTTTATGCACACTGTCATTTGTTGGCAGCACTGTATTTGTATGTGAGCAGACCGTACGCAACTTGTCGTATCATGGAAAGACGCGAAAGTGTGCAGAATTTTGCTCCAAGTCCAAAAAATCACGTTTTTGAGCCACGTGCAGCAGGACTTTTGCCAGCACCCTCGTGACGTTGCAGATATGTGGCTTGATTATTGTAGTTGACGTTGATTTAGTGACTTTGGCAAGTTTGAGTCGTGTCAAGAAGTCAGGTAGGATTCAGTATTAGGCAGTAGTGGAACGTGAGTGGTAGTCTGTGCCGATTTTTGAGGGTATCCTGGATTTGGTTTGCAGCGCTGTGGATATGGCTTGCTGTGGACGTCCCAGCACTGGATGTTGTATCAAAGGTACGATCTCATAGCACGCCCTAAACCTAAACACATTCAAAAATTGACTTGGGTCTGTGGGAGTGTGTGAGAGAACGCCCACTCCTGCCGTTGTGACAGATTCCAGGGTCACGTTGAGGGGCCCTATCCCACCACCCATGGCTGCTTGTGGACTTATTTTAGGTTTGGATCCCGCACACGGACAGAATGGGCACGAAAATGTCAAAAAATTTGTAAATGCATTAATTTGGCTCCTGGGTGACTCGCACACCATGGCACTATGCCGGAATTTTGGGTTTTCCGGCCTGGAAACTTGCCTGTCAGTGAGGCGCAAGAACTTTTAAATCATGTCCAGAGGGCCAGTGTGGTGAAAATTTCACTCAAATCCATTGAGAGACACCAAAGTTACGATCAATTGAATGCCATATGAAATTTACGACCATGGTGCTACCTTCAAGTCCTTACTGAAAGTCACTTCACAGAAAGACATTTCACCGAATGGCTATATCACCGACAAGACAGCTCACCGAAATTCTACTGTAAATAATTGTAATGACTGGTTCGTAGTCAGGCTAACTTCACAGGCGCTCAGTTTCGCAGCGCTGAAAGGCTCCAACTGACGTACTGGCGCGCTGATTGCACGTTATTTGGCAAATGTAGTACAGTCCCAAAGGTGCTCTTTTATTTCGCACTTAGTGCTTTTCGCGTCCCTCCAAATATGCTGAAAAAGTGCTCTTATTCCAGTGAAAACAGGCAAAAGTGCTCTTTTTCAGTGAAGCATAGCCATGATACATGTTGAGATATGAATCCAAGCTGAGAAATGAATACTAGGGCACTCTTCCACTTATGGGTCCACGAAAGGCAAAACAGGAAGTAAAGTTCAAAAAACCTACTTTTTACAGCATTGTGTACAAGCTTCACCAACATGTTTTTCGATTTTGACAGCATGTTACAAGGCGAGGACGCATAGTGCTCCTGACTACAACCTGACCATAACCCGGTTGGCAGAGTCCCGGTCTTGCGACCATTTGAACCGTATTTAGGGGTGAAAGTTGGCACTGAGATCCCGAGTTCGAGTACTCTGATTTTCTCCGATCGAATATTCGAGTATTCGAGTATTTTTCATCTCCTAAAAATTGCACACCAAGGGCTTTAAAATAACATGATACAACCCTGATTGAACCGAGTAGCAGTCATTTTTCTCGGGTATATCGGTTGGTGGGTCATTTGGGCTCTCTCTACTCGTGAACAAATGTTCACCACACAGCCTGCACATCACCATCTGCCAACTGCTGCCCTGAAACTGCAGATTTCTGTAGTAAATGCATGTACCATGTATGAACGAGTACTCTGATTTATTCCGAGTACAATTATTTTTGAATAAACCGAGCGAGTACTCGAGTACTCGGTATAATTGTTTCACCCCTAACCGTATTGGTACTATTGGGAAAACCCAGGTTCGGACCCTCGTTACTCTAGGGGTTGGTAGGATTAACGAAAACATTGTTTTGTGTTGTAGATGTCGTCGTGTTGCCGCCGCAGTATTGTTCACGTTGTCCCATTGCTGCCGCTGTAGGGATCACATTTGGAAAGGATTTTGTGATTGTAATGTTGTTATTTTATTTTATTTCTCTGGAATTTGTCATTTATCTTTCTTTTTTTCTTTTTGTTCTTTTCTCACTCTCTTTCTACCAACCCCTAGAGTAACGAGGGTCCGAACCTGGGTTTTCCCAATACGGTTCAAATGGTCGCAAGACCGGGACTCTGCCAACCGGGTTATGGTTGTAGTCAGGAGCACTATGCGTCCTCGCCTTGTAACATGCTGTCAAAATCGAAAAACATGTTAAACTACCAAGCAAGGCTTCTGTGTATATACCAAGCTTCACCAACTAGTACTTGTTGCCCCCTCCCCCAAAAGCGGCGTGCCCAGGCCCATCGAGCACTCGGAAACTGTGATCGCATGCATGAACAAACAGATTTCAGTACTTTTTCAGCTAAAAAAGCTCAAAAAGGGCGATACTCACCAAAAAATGCAATAAAGGGCGAAAGAAACGGGCTTTTCCAAAAAGGGCCAAAAAGGGCGAGCACCTTTGGGAAAGGGCTAGCCACATGCACAGTACGCCAGTGAGGCGGCATGGGCATGGATTAACTCCGAAAAATCCCTGGACGTGTGGCCCCAGAGTTGGCCCAGACAGATTCTGCTCCGCTCGCCTCGATATTTTGCCGCAAAATGTTGCTGCGGAATCTTCGATGTTTTGCCGAGCCTGGCACTAGAAACTCGATATTTTGCTCCCGAAAAACGTGTATTTTATCCACTTCCCGTACAACGTTTCATAAAAATCCCAGGGTCGGTTTCTCAACACAGGTTTCCGCGCACGTCACTGAGTTCTTCCAAAATCATGTCGATCCACGTCCACAGTGAATCCCAGTGATATTTCGGTGACATGATCTCGTCTCGGGCAGTGTATCAAGCTGAACGGGTAAGAAACAAGGAAATCCAAGTATCAGGCATCGATTTTACTCACCATCTCGATATTTTGCTCCGATTTTGCCAAAGGAATTGCCGGCAGGATCTGTCTGGGCCTACCGCAGAGAGGAAGAGGCTACACGGAAGCCAAATCAACCACGAACAGCATTTGGACATGTTGTCCTGGGGAAGGCTCGGAATCGGCTTCCGTGAATGTCGATCTAAAACAGACAGGCCATCCATCGCTCAATCATACCTGTGTACTGTGGATGGACAACATATTTTGTTCTTAAAAGAACGACCCGAAAAATTAATGTAACCGTGTGCTCTTCCAATGCATTATCGAAACCGTTTTCAACTTTCAAGGTGCACGGTTGAAAAAGAGATAGTTATTGTTCGCCTTTGTAGAAAGATGCGTGGACCTCATCTAGAATTCTAGACTATCATATCTAATAACGCTAAAAAAAAGGAGTGCATGCACTCGTCCCAGGATACCAGAGCAAAAAATATTCAGTTTTGGATTTGAACGTTGTTTTCATGTGACTAACATAAGAAATCATAACACACTAATGGTGTCGGGGTAGTTTCCATCACACATTTCTTTTGCGTTGGGGTTCAATATCCTGTGTTTTGCTGGTGTACAGGCGCTAAGGTGATGTAGTATAATAAATGGCATCGTGAGGCGAGAGACCGAGAGTACAGTAGTAGAGTCTGTACACTGACCAGGCCGCATCACTACACAATATGACACAAACTTATTGCCAAGTTATTGGACACGCAAAGTGAAGGGGAAACGATAGCTGTGTTACATTCTAGTAGAGCCTGCTGGACAAATTCATATCATAAATAGGAAAGACGATTGGCAAGTCGGCCTGAAAAGTTATGAAAAGTCAAGAAGCCTCAAAACTTGAACAATGTACCTCGTATAACATTGAGGGCAATGGAGAATCAGTCAGTGTGCAAAACTAAACTAGATGTCCCAAAACTCTCAACCAGATCATACTGAAGGCAGATTATATTCTAAATTACTATGCTAGAATGCCGGTGCTATTATTTTATTTTTAGATTTAACGTGAACTGAGTATAATAACAATCTGTAAAGGAATATTTAGGATGAAAATGGCGACCTTGCCTTCCACGTAGTCGGTCCATGTCAAAAGGCCTAGGAAACTTAGAGAGCGTATGAAAAACCAGATAGTGCAGAAGGAGTCAGATTAATCTTCAGGAGGAAGAGTGGTAACTAGTGGTTCCAATACGTGCAAGTACATGTATGTGATATGTGTTAATGCGGCCAGCCGCATGCTTGGGACAGTTAATTTGCTGCTAACTGAGTGATCAAGTTGATGATGAACAACATCATCTGCATGGAACAGAATACACAAGCAGAGAGAGAGGATTGATTTAGGATCTCTTTTCGTAGACAAACCTTTGAAAATGGGAACATCTACTCGGATAATGGTCTGGGTTTTAGGAGCCTACAATAACACATTCAGATATTCACGATTGAATGCCTTGCCGTTTCCCAGAATCCCGGATGGTCATGTTCAAGTACAGGCCACCGGGAAGCAAATACAGTATTTTGAACCAGAGCGACCAAGTTCGCAGGACATTCAACTAGGGAATGTTGTATTGCAGATTCTTCCGACCAAAACCAACCTTACTTATCGCCAAAAGGGCAAAAAAGAGCTCCAAGCCTTTCATCCATGCAAACATTTCCATTTTTGTTTCCATAGTATCCTGTTATAATGACATCACAGGCTCAACACCCAAATATGGAATGTGCACAATCATGAATACCCCACGAGTGCCGTATTCCACTGCCCTCAGACCACCGCTCGCTGCATTTTTCTTTGCCCATCACCAAGGAAGGGCTCATGATAACATTACTTTGATAAGCATGCCAGAATCCTTGAAAGATTCCTGGAAATTCCTTGAGAGATTGGCCTGGAAAAGACCCTGAAAAGGGTTGGAGAGTTGTAGGATGAGGCGCATATACATCATTGAAGCAACGATGTGTAGACATATATCACCAGACACGATAGTTCTACTACTCACCATATCAATTATCCAACAGCTCGTTGGAACTAGTTGCTTCCAGACTGTCTGCAGGTGACAAGTCATGGGATTTACTGAGGGGGTGCTGGTTTGCCACAAGTTCAGACACGGACACATCGGACAGAGATTGGCGCTCCAAATTTGGGCTATCTCCTTCTTCACTCGCTTGCTCTTCTTCTGGGATTGATGTCATTGTGGTGCCACTCTGTCAGAGGTACGGGTAAAACACGATATTACTGTTAGCATACCGATGAATATAGAGGACCTTTTTTATTTTATTATTATACCGATGGACATAGAAGACAGGTATTACACATCTGCCCATGCACAAACACACCATGAAACAATATTGCATGATCATTAATCATTCCAGACTTCAACCCCCCCTCCGTAGACACATCCGAATACTGAGCAGCCATGGAGATCTAAATGCGGAAAGTACACAATAGTGTGTCCAAATGATTAGAAACAAAACTATTGATGTCTCATCAGTCCTGAATGCGTGGAAAAAATTCTCCTACCTGAGTGGCATGGAAAGAAACAACAGTTGGCGAAACAACAACGAATTCTCGTTCTCCCGGGCCTTGGCGGCATACATATGCACCTGGCATACCCGGAACAAGCTGCACATCGCATGGCATACTGGGCTGAGGACTCCGCGCTTGCTGCTGTTGCGGCTGCTGTTGTGTTTCAGAGATGGAGACAACTCGTCGCTTCATCTTCCACAAGACGACTCCAGCCACGACCACGAGTACTGCCAGCGTGGCTCCGATGGACAATGGAATCAGGAAATATTCCTAAAAAAAGGCCACAGCACAAATCAAGGATAAAATACTCTTACACCTGGAATTGGTTCCTTATATGTGCCTGAACGCAGTCCAATCCAAATCCTGGCTGAATCTTAAAAACATCCAATCATGCTTCAATCAACTTTTTCAAGGAAATTAGGCTGACATGCCATGGAAAAACAGCTGCCACTGGACACGCCCAAAACTGTACTTGAACAACAAATAAAGGTGTCCATAAAAACTCGGATGTTGAGCCTATAGTAATGTGTAAAGAGAAAAGGACCTACAAGTTACTAGTTATGACTAACAGTCCACCAAGGTAACGAGATAATAAACAGTCATATAGTGCGACAACAAGGCACGAACTGACAAGGATATTGAGACATTCGATGACCTGGCACCTAGTTGCAACACATCTAGATGTCTTCAATATTCTTGTCAGTTCGTGCCTTGTTGTCGCATTACCTGACTGTTTTTATTACCTCGATACCTTGGTGGACGGTTAGTCATAACTAGTAACTTACAGAATGAAGTTGAAGACACCACTGCAGCTGTACGTATGGTTGATAAATATGGTGGTAAAGACACACCTGGCAATATGGCGGTATGGCAGGCGTGTGTTTACCGCCATATTGCCAGGTGTGTCTTTACCACCATATTTATCAACCATAGTAACTTATAGGTCCTTTTTTCTTTTTACATACAGGTGTCTGCACGATGATTAAATACACCACAACAACAAACACTGGTTTTGCTAACCGAGCGGTGTGAGTTTGTCTTGGCGGTTTCCTTGACGAATTGAAAGGCAGACGAAAACAGACAGTAGAAAAGACGTATAAGAAAAGGGAACATTATGAGGTGCATCTCTGTGGACCTTGCATAGAAACATGTGCAGATACATTCATCACCTGGTGGGCTTTTATCTTCTGTACGTAAGGCTAACAGTTCTCATAGAGATTACCGGTAGGTAGACCCTCAACATGACTTTCGTATGCACAATATTCACTTCCATCTGACTTCCGCCATATCAAACTGAACACTGGCAGCACCAAGTGCACAGGTCCTAAAAGCCTCGCTTTTAAACACTGCTGGGGCCTCCTACTGCTTTCGCAACACATGCAGCACTCAACACACTGTGACATTCGCTTCTGAAGCACTCAACACAACGCTCTCCTCTTTAAACTGCTTTAGCACACTCTTACAGAGTCTTCGTCACTGTCTGACTGAGAACCAGTCCCAGATCTCTCTGGTGCTCGAGGAGGGAATGTTGGCTCCACGCTATTCGCTTCACTGTCAGTTATCCTGGTGTCGCAGGCAGTACCAGTATATCCAGGCTCGCACAAACATGTTCCACTGCCAGAGATTCCATCGGCACACTGAAGAAAAATGAAAACCAAATAATCAGACTGGGGAAATACAGATTCTGCAAATAACACAAAGCAAAATTGCCTTTGTCTTGAGAAAGTGCTCAATACACGAAGAGGAGCCTGTGGCTCTGTGAACATCATCATGCGTGGTATACATGTAGCCTGGACCATGAACTTGCTCCAAATGGTGGCGCAGTTCAAGTGTCAGCTGACAATTGCTCCATTCAGTTGCTACCCGCTACTCAGTCAATGCACTGAATCACTGGAAGGATGATTAGTTCATTGAGTCGTGATATTATGACATTTCCGGCCACTCTCCGTTGTCAGAACGATGGGTGACAATGGCCAACGTCATCATTTTGCAACTCAATAAACAAATCATGGGTGTGGGGGGGGGGGGGGATTACTTTGACTCAACATCCGAGTTCAATAAACTAATGTTTTCGAGGAACTCACATATTTTTTAGGGCGAGTAGCAACTAAATAGAGTGGTTGTCAATTGACAACCCCCAATTTCTTCATAATGCAGTTTCATGGAGAACCATAAACGTTTAATGACAAGATAGCTTAACGTAAGGTTTGTGCTCCACCTTGGGAAAGACCTCGGAAGAGACGTCATACAGAACATAATTATACTCGTACAAGTACACGCATATGTAAGTTGATTTTCTTGTCCAAACTCTCTCTCTCTCTCTCTCTCTCTCTCTCTCTCTCTCTCTCCGGATGTAATGCTGCACAGGTCGTAACTTACTGCCTAGCATCGCATGAAGGAGCCGTGTTCACAGCAAATGTTTCTGAAACGAAGGAGAGATTCTGAGCATCTCCAAGCACTGTGCTACATGTACTCACAGTTCCATGGCCACTGCATGGGTTGGCCACATTGCTGCCAGGGCACGGTAAGCATGCTGAACTGTAGTAGCCCTTGCAACACGTCACAATCTGAACGAAAAAAAAACAAAGCCAAAGGACAAGACAAAAATCAATTGATCGTTTTTTTTTGTCTCGCCTAAGAGCTTTCCGTTAAAAGGTCAATGTTGACGCATCGGGTAGTCGCACGGAGCTGGGAAACGCACATGAAAGGATTGCAGTAGGATATGCACCACCTGTTGCAGCTATATTGTACTATTTGACTTATCCAACCAAGGGCATGCAGACCAGCATAATTTACTACTCCCCTACAATCATTAGTATCAAAAGTTCAACAAGAGCTACATGCTTATAAGTCGCATACAAAACCTGGACCTATTAAAGCTGGAATCATATCCATGTACACTTTGGCATGAGAGCCAGGTTTCTAGTGAAACACTGCTTGAATTCAAAGCAGGGGTTCCTACGTATAGCAACGCACAAACTAAGCCTATAACTCATCCTCTCAATATGAGATCAGACTTGCATCCAAGTACAACCCCCTGTACAAATGTCTACAGGTCACATGATCAGTAACATCACTGAGATTCACTGTACCATACCTTGCTCGGCTTCTCGTTGACACACTCTCTGTAGCGACAGTTGTGAGTGCCACAGCCTTTAGTGGTGACACCTAGGCGGATGTCAGGAAGCCCTGGTGCACAGCTAATACGGCCCGTCGGATAGCCGCTAGGACAGCTCGTGCACTTGCCCTGTGTGGTTGAAAAATAGACAAATTAGAAAACTCCGTCATAAGGTTGAGGGGGTTCGCATCATTCTTTACGATGACACGGCCAGAGTGCCGGAGGTCCAGCATCTCTAATACAAATGTAACCAGATTTACAAGGCTTTTTTAACCTTAGCGGTATCATAATTATAGGCGACATCTTTGCAAGACTGATGATGGCATTCGGATCACAGTCTGATTGGGAAAGAGCAGGTTTGCTCTAATCGACTTCCATATACAAGGTTGCAGCCGGGAAGCCTCACCATGGCACCTTATTTCAATAGAAGAAGCGGCTTTAGACATTGAATGGAAAGCATAACTGAGTCAAGTACTGCCATGCCATTGGCCGTCTGACTTACCGGGTATCTATCCCTGACCTCCTGCACGCAGCGGTTGGACGGGTATTGCAGCGAGAAAACACCGTCCACAATGTGAATAATACCGTTGCTTGCAGTGATGTTACTCTGGATAAGAGGCGCGCTGTGGACAAGAATTTCCGCCTGTGAGCACGTACACGGAGGAATACATGTAAGCAGAGCTTCAGAATGTGAAACAGCTTCAACGATGCATTGGGGTTCTCTAAAAGCAGATTATCAACGGGTCTGCACAAAACCGTGTTGTCAAGAACTATTCCAGCATGTATAAGACTTATTTGACACAAAGAGCAACGATGGTATGACAACCATCACCACACTGTATCTTCAGAATACCACATGGTGACGCAAGTTGTTCAGCACACACGCACGCACGCACGCACACACACACACACACACACACACACACACACACACACACATACACACATGGTTGAAACAAGCATGCGTGAGCAGCGTGCTTTGCTTGACACTGCCTTCCTGCAGACTGTGCCCTGGAGCTAGGAACAACATGGCCAGCAGCAGACTGTCTTGCTTACACTAGATAGGATTCTGACTGAGCCATTCACCAGCTGTCCCTCCAGGCTCAGGACTGGTAAATTGGTATTGGCCATCCTACTCAGGTCTACTACGGTATACTGCAGCAAGCAGACAAGAACAGAATCACAATTAGACTTGCATGTACATGTGCAGTACATTCGAACGGTAAAATTGCCGGCTGAACGAACGAAAGCTATACACAGGTTGCCAAGGTGATTGCTTGAAGGTTAAGAGACCAAAGAGCAAGTTGCAAACATGTGACATTCTACATGGGAGTAGTACAATCCTGCTCACGGTGACATTCAACATGGAAGTAGCGCAGTCCTGCTCATGGTATTGCGCAGAACAGATACAGTAGCACAGCACTTACCGGCATTGGCGCAACATGACTGCGGATAAGACCAACGAGCTGGCGCAGTTGCTGCGGTAGCAATGCGAGAAACAAAGCACAACAGACGCAGATAATTACTGAGCAGCAAAATCCATATCATACAGAAATAAACTTCTTGACAAAACTGAGGACCAAACAGAAAGGAGACCGAGGTATATTTTTATACACCAAACGCTTATACTTCTTTCACCCATGGATGGGTGTTAGGACATGTAGTTTGTCAGCATTAAAAGCAATAAATGACTTAATCCTTACTGCCTCGCTTTCCAGCATGGACAAAGACCAGTTGGCTTTCACGAGACCCAGCGTGCGGAACGCGCTGTTAGTTGGAGCAAAGATGGTATATCGTGCTGGAGGAGCCAGCAATGCATCGATGGAAGTCAGCTGGAAACCATTGGAAAATACAAATACACCAGCAGAAAAGTACTCACACAGAGCAGCAATCAATCCAATTTTTACTACCAAAGGCATTTGACCTTCTTAAAGGAGGTCAAAGACTGGTTCACAAAAGCATTTTCCTTCTTCTCTTTCTTTTCTTTCTGACAATGGATGAGTTCAAGCCTGCAGCCCTGCGGCTAAGCACCAGAAGTAATCATTCAGACAGGAGAATATCATGTAGAGTGAAACTGCACTGCCGAGCGACAATACTATGCAATTCTGCCTACATTTACGTACTGTACGCGTCCTCGCCTTGGCTTCGTCAATAACTGTGGCTAGTGTCAAAGTTATCTGCCCTCGTGCAAAGCTCGCTGTGCTTATTGCCCAGTTAGAGCACTCTGATTTTTTGATGCAGTTTGAGCCGGTATAAAACCCTTTGTTGTCAATTAGACTTCATTGCAAATCGGTTCGGCCAGTCACTCGTGACTGGCCGAACTCGTACGTACTGTACGCGTCCTCGCCTTGGCGTCGTCAATAACTGTGGCTAGTGTCAAAGTTATCTGCCCTCGTGCAAAGCTCGCTGTGCTTATTGCCCAGTTAGAGCACTCTGATTTTTTGATGCAGTTTGAGCCGGTATAAAACCCTTTGTTGTCAATTAGACTTCATTGCAAATCGGTTTGGCCAGTCACTCGTGAGCTCCGCTGACGAGACCTAACAAGGTGGAAACAGCTAGCTGTCCGGAGATTGAGTGCACACGTTCTGTGTCCGTTAGCTTTCGTAACTACAGTCAAACCTCGTTAGGACGAACACTGATAAGGCGAACTTTCCATTAGTACGAACTAAGGCCAATCCTATGGTTGGCCAGGCATCAATTCAAGTCAAAATTATTCGTTTATGACGAACTTCTGTACAGCGAACTTTCGCGAAGACGAACTATTTTCAAGTGTGATTTGAACAAAGTCAGTGTGGTCATGTACATGTAGTACGAACTTTCGGTCCACGAGCGTGCGCGTAGACTACGCTGGCTGCCTTTTTTCTTCTTCTTTTTTTCAATAGTCGAGATCATAATAATTATATTGTACGTACAGTGCAAATTGTTTTCAAGCGTGTTTTGAGCAAATCGATCAGTGCGTTGTGCGAACTTTCGACACAGTCGTAATTCATTGCACTTTGTCATTAATATTATTGTACTTACCGGTACCTGTTTCTGGCTTATGCTAAGAATAACATGCTTCCATGTACCACAGCATGCACCTTCACGTAAATACAATCCATCTGATATGTATATCGATTTTTTGTCAGATCTGGATAAGAAGAACTCCCGATAAGACAAACAAATTTGTTCAGTCCCTTGAAGTTCGTCCTAACGAGGTTTGACTGTGAATAGTTATACATATCTGCTGTACATGAACAGTGAACATACATCAAACTACAGTGCTGGAAACTGAAATCCGACCCCTGAGCGGTGCGCTCACATCGCAAAGACCCAACACGCGTGACGGGATAGCAAAACTACGAAATAGAGACCGCTAGAATGTGAACGCATCGCTAAGGAGTCGGATTTCAGTTGCCAGCACTATAGTTCTCCCAGTGCAGCGCTAAGGATATCCAATAAACACTGAGCAACCCAGCATGCAACATTCCAAGGCCATTTTAGAACAGTTGATCAAAGTGAGCTGAGTGGATCACCTGGTCTCACTACCACCCTGCACAATCATGGCACACAGATGTGAACAGTGCAAGATTCCTCCCGTACCTTCAGAACCTTGGCAAAGTCACTCAGGCCGGGGTATGCATTGATGGCATCTACAACAGATTTCTGAAAAAGAAACAGCACAAATAAGGGGAGACAAGAAAGAACAGACTTACTATAATTAAAGGTTATGACCAATAACTCAGAAGTTGTGACGGACTCGACCATTTGAAAATAATTTGAAACTGGCCGCCTCTCCACACTGCGCTCTTGGGGTGCGCTCTTGGCCCACAAGAACGAACTTCCTCGTTATGGTGTGGTGAATGTGGGTCAAGAGCGCAGTGTGGAGAGGTGGACAGTTTCAAAATTTTAATTGTAACCAGATAAAAATATAATTATACATACTTCGAAAGACAAAAAAATCAAAATATACAAAATACCGGTATACAAAAAATACAAAGAAAAAAGACAAAATATACATGAATTGGCTACCGTTACTTGACCGAAGTATGCAGTAGTGCACTTGTAGGAGCTGCAAGGAGCCATTTAAATTGCTGAAGCAATGCAACAGACGTTACTTTAGTAGTGTCTGGCACTAGCCAGGGTCCACACCGCCGTATTTTGTATCCCTGTGTGTGTGTGTGTGTGGGTGTGTGTGTGTGTGTGTTTGTACGTGCACGTGCGCTCATGGTACAGATGAAATTGCTCACCTGGCACATGTTCTTGTATTGCAAAGACGTTTCTTTCAGTTCGAATAACACACATGATGACCTAGGTAAAACAAAGCATAGCGAGGGCTCCTCTCTCATGTTAATGAGGTTAGGACATTGTCAAAACACACTAGCCCGGTGCCTTACCTGTTGTGTGTCCGGGAGCATGGAACGCGGCACAAGAAGATTGTTAACGAAATGCACCATGCCATTGCACACAGGCAAGTTAGAGTGGTGAATTAGTTGTGCACGGTCACTGGGCCTTGTCGTTGCCGACGAGGACACCTGCAGGTATGGCAAAGTCTGGGAATGAGAGCACACAACACACAAATACTACATGACTGAGAATGATTTTGTGTGCGGATCACCAACGTACAGAGAGGCACAAACACGTTCACGCACAGGCATGTATGGAACCAGAGCATGCAAATCGGTGACATCGAAGCCAGAGCTGCATGGTCAGATATGTGCCGATTTATCGTCACCAGCTCCTCTCTCTCTCTCTCTCTCTCTCTCTCTCTCTCTCTCTCTCTCTCTCTCTCTCTCTGGGCGTGCTTCTGTCTGTCCACTTTCCTGTCTGCCTGTCTCCCTCTGGCCCTCTCTCCTCTGTCTCTCTGTCTCTGCTCTGTGTGTGTGTGTGTGCTCGCGTATGGCATCCATGATACAGGCACGCAGACTCACCTGTCCGTGTGCAGTGGAGACCGTAATGTTCCAACCTTGCATTGTACCGATCTGCCTTGCCAAAACAAGCTCTGATGAGTTGAATGATCTTAGGACAATGTGTAACCGAAGAGCAGCCTTCAAGCACTCACTATTGGCATGGATTGCAACCTCCTGCAAACAAAAACAAGAACAACAAGAACAACAGCAACAAAACATACGTCAGGTCAGCCAGGCATCGATGATTAAGTGAACAATAGTATGCAAAGCAATCAAACAACTATGTGACGTCTCTTTTCGAGACTTTCAAATGTGTACACATGAAAGTGCACTCACAGAACTTCCGTTTCGTGCCCTTGCAAAGGCTACATTCGTCGGCGCAAATACAGTTAGGCGTGCTCTTGTGTCGTTGAGCAAGTTGATTATTTCTTCTCCAAACGACGTCCTCAGGTTGCTGAGGAACATTGAGGATAGATTGCTGCGTGCCAAAAGAACTTGCAGAGCTGTTCTGCCTCGACAGGCATTCTCTGACGTCGTATCCTGGTCGCCAGATATGCATCTGTGCAGCAGGAAACACAGAACAAGTACATCAAAGTGAACGACAGTGAAGAATGCTGCTGAAGAAGTCTGCGTACTTAAAAGTTGAAACAGCAAGAGAACACCTCACTGAAAGCAAATGTACAGGCTATGATAAGTGTGCACCATTGCAATCGTCGGTGCCTTCTTCAATGATGGAATGTGCGCACACTATACAGCAAGGCCAAAGGCACAACATGCACGTTAAATGTACATGCTTTGGCCATTGTGCAACACTCGAGACCCATATTTTCAAATATCTATGCTCACCTTCCTCTCTCGCATTTGAATTCCTTTCTGCAATCGGACTGCCTTTGACATCCTGGGCATTGCAAGAAAAGATGGGAAAGCGTCACAAATCTTGTGCTTCATGAAAACACATGTTTTGTAAATACCCATATCGTACTCCCAACTTTGCTAAAACCAATCTGTTCAAAGCACAGGAAGAGGATGAGAAAAATATGCCCAGTGGTAGCAAACATAATATCGCCACTCGTAACTAGCCAAGTAAGGTCATTATCAGCAGTCCCATTACATGAACACAGCCATAAATCCGTTGATCCCCGAGCTGCAGAGAGTGCTCAATGTCAGAGACAGAGCCTAGTACATAGCAGACTCAGCGGAGGACGTTCAGGTTGGCTGTAACTATGAGCTACATGACGCTGGGCAATCATCAGACAACTGATCTATGAACACAGCTGTAGATATATTCTCCTGAACAACAAGTTAACATGAATGTGCTCTGGGTTGCAATTTTGATGTTAAAAGAGAACGGTGATATAGCTATATGTGGATCACCACGCAATGAGTAAACAAGGTTGCTGGTTTCTCACACACGGCGTCGGATACGAGCCTCATTCACTTCCCCGGGCGCAAACTGGGTGGGGTAGAATGCAGTGTACGTTACATCAGCATGTGCGTCAACCCGGCATGTTACATCCTTCACTGTACCACAGAGTAGCGTAGCCAATGGCGAAGTCAATTCTTAGCTATGAATCGCGGCCATAGGATCGCTAGCAAGCCATGGAACTTCTTCTGGCACATGATTCCAGTAGTCAGACCTTGCTTGTTGCATCCTATACTGTCCGGTTACCTCGCCAACCGGTAGAAATCAGTTGCAGAATGTTTACACCCTGGAATACAGTGCAACCCGTTTTTGATCATTCGGTTCCTGCGCCTATCCGTATATTTTCGTGAAAACAAATGTGTGCGCATGATTGCTGGCGAGAACATAGTGAATGTGGTGAAACGCTCCCCATTATCTATTGAATGACGAAGACTAATTTTGACTGAGCTGATCCGACACAAACAACTACCGGTTATACTAGTTATGACAACTACTTCAAATTCCCATATTTACACAATCATGCACTTTACCTATGCACACAGCCGCTACCCATGCACCCTAGGCCTAGCCTCCTCCATCCCACCACCTACCTTGAGGCTTGGGTCTTGGGGTTATGGTGCGCTCCGGAGTTCCAGTTGGTTGTGATGGGATAATCCTGGTGTTGGTCAACCTTGGCGTTGGACGTATGGTTCTCGTTCTATCGCTAGGTAGAGGTGGAGGTGGTCTAGACGTGGGCCTATCTAGTGGTGGAGTTATCCCCGTCGGTCTAGGTGGACGTGGTGCAGTTCCACCACCGCCGGCTCCCGGCCCCCCTGGGCCTTGACAATCCACGATTGCAGGACAGAAGAGCAAACCTACTGCCATGAACATCCATGCTAACCGCCCCCTGAGCAGCGTAGCAAATGCATATTGAGGCATTTTGAGTACTACCGCACACCAAATAATTCCAACAACACCACGCTATTATCAACTGCTTTTCCGGACAGTTATTAGTTTCTTCTGGCGTGAGGAATACAGGAAAATAATTACATATTTCTTCTCTCATTACAGCCCAGCTGAGGTAAGCAGGCGCTAGCCATTGCAAATAAAAGTACAATCCATCAGTCTTCAAATTCCACACGACAGCCACTTCTGGCACAGCGAGGACTTCAAATTTCTGTGCTTGGTGCGATATGACTCCCCATAGTAGGCAATAGAGCAGCCGGACGCACACTGGATCAGGTCGTTCCCTGTTGAGATGTCGCCAAAGAGAGCCATGCCATGCCAGGTACTAGTAGTAGGTCAGGACAGCTAGTACATCGATACCTGGATACATGCCCTGCACGTGCACCTCTCACAAAAGCACGTCCCACCGCCGATGCACGTGACGTGAATGATCCATGCAGATCTATGTATGGTGCTGCAACTCTTCTAAGTAATTAGTTCTAGTGCCTAGTACCGGACCGTACCGTTACGACTGACTGTGCGATCTGCTCAGAGCCGGATACGTACAATCATGTAGATCTACAGTACATGACTGGTCAGGATACACCATTGTCACCACTGACACTGGCACTGACTGACACTGCATGCGACAGTCTGTACTGCCTTCTCTACTGAGTAGATCATGGTAGATCTACTGGCGTAGAATCTACCTACCACTTCACTGACCGACACATACACAGGCAGGACTGACTCTGACTGTCTGAGTTCGAGGACTTTGACTCTTGGCTCCCTTTCTCTTTCTATTCTCATTTTCTCTTTCTATTCTCCCTTTCGAGCCTCAGCCTGAGGGCTTCCTATTCTCTCTCCCTTTCTCGGGCTTTCTATTCTCTCCTCTCTCTCTCTCTCTCTCTCTCTCTCTCTCTCTCTCTCTCTCTCTCTCTCTCTCTCTCTCTCTCTCTCTCCCTCTCCCTCTCCCTCTCCCTCTCCCTCTCCCTCTCCCTCTCCCTCTCTCTCTCTCTCTCTCTCTCTCTCTCTCTCTCTCTCTCTCTCTCTCTCTCTCTCTCTCTCTCTCTCTCTCTCTCTCTCTCTCTCTCTCTCTCTCTCTCTCTCTCTCTCTCTCTCTCTCTCTCTCTCTCTCTTTCTCTCTCTCTCTCTCTCTCTCTCTCTCTCTCTCTCTCTCTCTCTCTCTCTCTCTACCTATCGACGTTCAAATACTGCTCAAGTACTCGTACTAACAATGTCTTAACCGTGACGGTTGTCCTATGTCATCTCCTTCTCCTCGTAACACTGTCCCCTCCTCGAGGCCTCGCCGCATCAAGTTACGTATGCATGTCCCAACAGCACTGTGGGTTTTGTTATCACCTTGGCTTTAGAACATTTGTCAACTTCAACTTCTTTGGTTATGACACTTTGCTACATGTATGTAGAAAGTGCGCAATTGCACCAGCTTACCCTCTAAATGTACTCATTCCTTTATGGTAAAAAGAAGAAAAAAGGAGAAGAACAAATCTTGGATGCGCACTCCAACAGCCTTCCAACTTGGAAGGTTTTCAGTTATGTGATAACATAAGAGGGGAAGGTGAGCGCAACTAAGACAAGCACGAGCTGAAAGTCTCAGCTGTTAGAACCTTCCAAGTTGGAAGGCTGTTGGAGTGCGCATCCAAGATGGCATGTGCTAGAGATGTTCGCCAGTTGAAGGACAAAATAATGTTACGAATTATGACTACTTGAACTGTCCACCATCGTAACCAGATCAAATCATCGGGCACAAAACTGACAAGGAGTACCATGAGACATTCAGCGACCTGGCACCTAGCTCCAACAATTCTCCAAGGCGCAAACCAACAACCTTCCAAGTTGGAAGGCTCAGGTTCGGAAAGGTCCAAGAGGGGAAGGAAGGCGCAAGGAAGAAGAGCACGAGCTACGCCCCACGGCAACAAAGAATGCCGAAAGGTACTGGATGATGACGAAACTAGTAAGACTATTGGACATACCGGCCTTACTACAACTCCAGTGTTGGGCCATTTTGTCGCACTCGCTGACTATAATTATAATGACCTGGTTACGTTGGTGGACAGTTAGTCATAACTCGGAACATTTAGTCCTTCTCCTTTTCTACCATAATTAAATTGGCTCACCATCTTATCCAAGAACGAACTTCCTCGCCTATGGAGTATAATAATGGTGTTGTGAAAGTGGGCCAAGAGCGCAGTGTGGAGAGGTGGACAGTTCAAATTGTATCTTCCAGCTGCTTCTATTAATGCTGATGAACACTGATGAACCTCTGCTGATGAAATCTCACAAGAAAACATTCTGGTCAACCCTAATAATTATTGGAATGTACATGTACAAGTATGTGTGCGTATCACCCTATATTATTATTGTCACTAATGTTAGCTTACATGTATATCACCTACAAACTACATGTACATGTACCTACCTGTACTTAGCTTACACTACATCAATATAACTCTCGGATGGAGAGTTAATGATAAAATTTATAACAAAGAAAAGGACCAAGGATGTACAAGATACGCTCTAGTGTTCACAAACACCACTAGTTACATGTACTTGACAATCAGCTCATGCGACAACATTGCACGACACCGACCGACGGTACTGAGGTGAGCGCAATGATGGTCTTGCCAGTATCGTCTTCGACATACATGTACATGTACATCCGCCAACGTCCTTCACAGCTGAGACTTTCAGCTCGTGCTTGTCTTGGTTGCGCTCGCCTTCCCCTCCTATGTTATTTCTAACTACTTAGAACCTTCCAAGCTGGAAGGCTATTGGAGTGCGCATCCAAGATGTGTTAGAGCTAATTGCCAGTTAGGTGTAGAACGTCAGTACCGTTGGTCAGAGTCGTGTAATGTTATCGCATGAGCTGATTGTAAAGTAGCTGGCGGTGTTAGTCAGTGGACATAATCACATCGTACCCTGTAGTTCCGAATCCTTGGTCTTCAATATAAAGTTGCGAAAGTATTAGTTGTGATTTCTTCTCAACAACGAAAACGTGGCGAAAACGTGGCGAGCATCTTTGGGAAAGGGCTAGTAGTACTACAGTGGTCCCTCTATAATCCGGCACCATTTGTGCGACGAAAATCTGCTGGATTAGGGAGGGTGCTGGATTAACAAATCTGATTTACTGCTGCAATGTGCATGAAGAGGACATTTTGGCTACTGAAAATTGTGCTGGTTTATCGAGGGTGCTGGATTATAAAGTGCCGGATTAGAGAGGGACGACTGTAGTAGTAGTGCTCGGCGCCCACCTGTGAGTACTACTACATGTACATGTACGTACATGTACATGTAGTAGTAGTGGTGTATAATTGTGTGAGGGAATGCTTTACCAGTTTCTTTAATTTTATTTATTGTGTTTACTTTGCCCGGAAAAAGGGCTTCCCTATTATTATTGTTATTATTCACACATATCCGCCGGATGAGTACGCGTGGCCCATGCACCATGGGGACCCACGAATACAAACCAGCATGTGTTCCCTCAGCAATACAAGCAAGCAAAGACAAACGAGAGCCCAGGCAGCGAAAACAAAACGAAGAGAGATGAGGACATAGGCAACGAAAACAATTGCAAAGCGTAGCCAGGGATTGAATGTGTGCATTCCATAACAGAAGCAAAAATGGCATATCTTTAGAACTCCGAGGTCAGTCACGTTTAGAAACGTTCATCCGACCTAACTGTGTCATGAGTAATCCTCAATACGAACCTCGGAGTTACAGAAGAAACCATTTTTTGTTCTGTATATTTTTTAGGGCTTTGTAATGTCATCGTATGTATTTGTGCAGGCGTTGTGGCCGGATTCCCAGTAAAAAAAAAAATTGTTCTAACGGCGAGGAGACAACAATTTGATAACCGCAATCAGTAATACAAGCTGGATCGACATTAATATTCATGTATTGTAAAACTGTGGAGACAATGTGCAATAAAACGATGAAAAATGTGAAGAAATTGTGTAGAGAAAGAAAGGGATTCAAACAAGTTTTCGTACAACACTCATCAGGAATCTTCGTTGTACTAAAGGACACTGAAAACAAAATTGAACTATTATAGAAAATCTAAGATAGAGAAATAACACTAAGAACAACTGCAGTGAAATTTACAAGTGTGAATTTTTACAATGAAAGCGAGAGCAATAACGAATGTGTGTACCAACACTAAACTTGCAACTGAAAAGTGAACAAAGAAGAGAAAGAAAGAAGGAAGGACAAAGTGATAACAAATAACAGCAGTACATTACACCTAGAACATTAACGGCCAAGCTTGGCCGCACCAAACATGACACTTTACTTGAACAATTTCAACCCAATTATACTATCTTTCTGTACACACAAATTAGGCTTATACAGACGCTGACAGATGGCTTCCAAAACCTTTAACTGTAGTCCATAACCATGACGACCACGGCACAATACAGTGAATGAAGAGTCGGAATACGAATTGCAATAATCAGGACTAGCCAACAGATGATTGTACACTGAAGACTTGCTACCACGAAACCTACGCACAACGCTAACATTCTCACCGGCACTCTCACGATCACTACAATCGTCGCTCTCCGACCCATTGCTCCCTTCACCGTCCGTCCCATCATCTGCTTCCTCTGCGCTCTCTCTGTTATCCCGCCTGACATGGTCCATTGAACGGGACTCGGTCGTCACCCTGCTCTCACGTCCCTCCTTACGCCCTTGTCCGTTGAGTGCGTAGTTTCTGTTGTAGTGGGCTGTTGATCGTCTTGGCCAGTGCAACTGCACGGTGCAGCCAGGCATGATGCATGCTGACCGCGTGAACACTCACTCAGCCGGCGGCAGACAGCGGACAAGTCAGCATCCGGTACCCAAGCCAAGGGATGATAGAATCTATCATCTGATGATCTACAACCTCGGCTCGGGCATGCGGCATGACCATGATGACCACCCAGTCCCTGCGCGCGATCGAGTTCCCATGACGATGAAGAACAAAAACATCTCGACACGGCCGAAGAAAGTTCAGTTCCCTGTTGAATCACTTACGAGAGGTCATCAAATTCTCTTCGTGAGTTTCTTCGGACTCCAGACTAGGTAATTTCTTTCACTTTTTCTTCGAAGCCTTCTTCTTCAACAACCAACAATGGTGAGTTTAGTTGAACAAGTGTCGAATGCATCAGTACGAAGGACAGCTTCTTCAAACGAGAGAAATTGCTAGCCTCGTCGACGTCGTTCATGCAAACTTTTGGAGCTGTGCGGTAATGCTTCTGTCCATGTGTTTGCCGTGTCCTTTTCTTGTTGACTGTCGACTTTGTTTTCTGTAGCGTGAAGTAATCTCCATCCATGTTGGCCAGGCTGGCGTCCAGATGGGCAATGCCTGCTGGGAGTTGTACTGCCTCGAGCATGGCATCCAGCCTGACGGACAAATGCCGTCCGACAAAACCATCGGAGGTGGCGACGACTCCTTCAACACCTTCTTCAGCGAGACGGGCGCTGGCAAGCACGTTCCCCGCGCCGTCATGGTCGACTTGGAGCCAACTGTTGTCGGTAAGCCCTACTAGGACCCCAGCTGACTTGCATACCGTCGCCGTCAGTAACGTTCCATGTCGACGGATGTGTTCACTTTCGAGTCCTGCTGGAACGCACCGGCCGCCAAGTGTCCGTTATTTTTGATGCCAACATCCAAAAGGGGAAGAAGTGCCGCCATGCAACGTATCCGAGTCCGAGAACTCATCCCACCTATTATTATGTCCACTATCAGGGATGCATCACTCTTACCCCGGATCCGTCTCTTGTTTACAAACGTACAGTCCAGCGCCGGGCAGCGAAATGCGGCTATGCACTTGCACACATTCAAGAATCCTGTCATTGACGCAATCACGCTGGGCAACGGAACTCAGTTGCCACAGCCTCATGGGGTACTCAGTAGCAGCTGCTTTTTTTGAGATTTCTAGAACATTAACCCTTTACCAGCCGTACATAGTGCGAATGCGTCGAATTCGACGCATTCGTTTTTCGCTCAGTAAACCATGGTCTTTTGCCGCACCGCGGTCGGAATAATCGCAAACTACTGCTGAACACCTACGGAATTACCTACCATCGAGAAAACCGTGTGCTGCACATCATTTTTTTTTCGAGAAAATCGCGGTTGAATGCACCCGGGTGAAGTTGAAATTTCAAGCGTGACGCACTTCATGCTAAACGAGCATAGAGCTCTGTACAAACAGCTATAACTTCGGCCTCCCTACTTCAAATTCAACATAATTATGACGGCTCATTGGAAAGCTATTGAACGCAGCTTTCCAACCATTTATCATTCGATATAGCACGAAGTAAATACTCAAGCGCCGAAGCTCGAAGTCCAGCAAACGGGTGGAGTTGAAATTTCAAGCGTGTGGCTGTGACGCACTCCATGCTGAAGTATGTGTTTGCGAATTCCCCAGTGCACAGCCCATACGTGACATGCACCAAAAATGAGCGCTAGAGCAGCCTGGTTCTGCTGGTGCTTGAATCTTGACAGATGAACTGGTGCATGAGCTGGAGCTGAACAGTGTACATATTGTCATGGTCCTCGAATTTGCTAATTCGGCCGCATTGCTCGAGTTATTGTTCGCCATGAATGGCAACGTTTTATCAGCTTGGTTTTAGTCTCGTATGAAAGGTAATTCTACCAGCTTTCCAGAACCATAAAGGTGTCATTACAAATTATTTACCGTTTGGTCTCCATTATCAATCTAGTGGACCCCGTTTTTTACATATAAATCCTGCGGCTGGTAAAGGGTTAGAGCTATGTTACAATGTGTTTGTGTGCGCATGATGGATATGGTGCCTAGGCCTAGGGCAGGCAGAGGAACTTGAGCTGATAATGAAAGTACAAGAATTTGACCGTGTTATGTCTGTGCGAATGTCCTTTCTTCGTACAGATGAGGTCCGTACCGGTACCTATCGTCAGCTCTTCCACCCCGAGCAATTGATTACAGGCAAGGAGGATGCCGCCAACAACTATGCTCGCGGTCACTACACCGTCGGAAAGGACGTTATTGACATTGTTCTCGATCGCTGTCGCAAACTGGCTGACCAGTGTACCGGTCTGCAGGGTTTCCTCATCTTCCATTCGTTCGGTGGTGGCACCGGCTCTGGATTTGCTTCTCTGCTTATGGAGCGTCTCTCCGTAGACTACGGAAAGAAGAGCAAGCTGGAGTTTGCCGTTTACCCAGCCCCTCAGGTAAGAATCATTGAAGGCGTAATTCTGCGACAAAACGTTAGCACGGTAATATTGTTGAATGTTGCCTGTAGACTCAAGCCTGATATTATTTTGTCCGTCCTTCACATTCCCAAAACTTCCAAAACTCAACCTAAAATGTAATTATTACGGAGGATTAGCAAGACGAAATTCGCGTTCGCGTTCGCAAACATTTTTCAGTTCGCGAACTGGATTGCGAACTTTCGCATTTTTCGTTCGGAAAAGTAGTCGGAACACGAATCGTGGATTCGTGTCAGGGCAGTCATAAATTTACCACGCTGCACTGCCTACGTCGTGTCAACATCATGCATGTGCGAATTCTGTTTGCTAATCCTTCTCATAACGCGAATTCCGTCACTGAGTTTGACTTTCTTTGGAGAGCGAACGCGAACGCGAATTTCGTCTTGCTAATCCTCCGTACTGTGTTTGCTTTGCGCCCTTTTTGTGCAGATTTCCTCCGCTGTCGTTGAGCCCTATAACAGTGTACTGACCACTCACACCACACTGGAGCATTCTGACTGCGCCTTCATGGTTGACAATGAAGCCATCTACGACATCTGCCGTCGCAACCTGGACATTGAGCGTCCAACCTATACCAACCTGAACCGTCTGATTGCCCAAGTCGTCTCTTCCATCACCGGTAAGTCACAGGACTCCCACCATCCCCGGGAAAACACCTTGTAGAACAAATCCATTTATATTGTGGCTGCGCAGTTGCAATTTGCATGAGTGAAAGCAATATGAGATTACAGTCAATCAGATATTCAGGATCATTTAAATGGCAATTGTACACTTTTCCTTGTGATTGTTTCATAGCCTCGCTACGATTTGATGGTGCACTGAACGTGGACTTGACTGAGTTCCAGACCAACTTGGTGCCATACCCACGTATCCACTTCCCACTGGTCACATATGCTCCCATCATCAGCGCCGAGAAGGCCTACCATGAGCAGCTGAGTGTCAGTGAGATCACCAACTCCTGCTTTGAGCCGGCCAACCAGATGGTGAAGTGCGACCCACGTCACGGCAAGTACATGGCCTGTTGTCTGCTGTACCGTGGTGATGTTGTGCCCAAGGATGTCAATGCATCCATTGCCACCATCAAGACAAAGCGTACCATCCAGTTTGTCGACTGGTGCCCAACTGGTTTCAAGGTGAGCTTGAGTAGTATTTCCGGCATTTCTTTTTCTTCTCCTGGCTTTGAAAATGCCTTTTGATTTTTCAGATCCCATGTGTATGCCGTTATCATTACAATAGGGCTTGAAAGTGCTACGTCACAGCATAGCAACAATTTCAAAAATTCAAAAACTGGATCCAAGTTTGTATGGACCCAAGCACATTTCAAGCGGTCTAACCCACAGGATGGTGATGTAGCCAGTGAAACTGACTGATTTGGCTACTGGGGGCGGGGTTACAACTGGTGGCGAAATAAAAGTCACACCTGCATGCGACATGAGTGGGTTGCTATGCACCCACATACTTAGGCAATAGCCAAGTCACACCTTAGTGGATCCAAAAATAGAAATCTGATGTCAACTTACTACTCCCTGGCCGTTTTGACGTCATCACTTTCAAGCCCTATACCTACATGTACATACCGGTACTAAGACGAGAGCTAACTGCACATACAGTTTGTACTTCATGTACATGTAGGACAATTCAGAGCAGGGAAATAATTGCGTTCAGTCATGGTTGCATTATAGGATGGTTGTGAGAATTATTGATGTGCACAGCTAAGGACTTTCTCATGAAAGTAGATTGTGAAAACATGTCTCTACTGCTATTGTGTATTCTCCGGCTTATCCCAGGTCGGTATCAACTACCAGCCGCCAACTGTTGTACCCGGTGGTGACTTGGCCAAGGTACAGCGTGCCGTCTGCATGTTGTCCAACACCACTGCCATTGCTGAGGCATGGGCTCGTCTGGATCACAAGTTTGATCTGATGTACGCCAAGCGTGCCTTTGTCCATTGGTATGTTGGTGAGGGTATGGAGGAAGGTGAATTCTCCGAGGCTCGTGAAGATCTTGCTGCCCTCGAGAAGGACTACGAAGAGGTCGGTGTGGACACGGCAGATGGCGAGGGTGAAGGCGAGGGAGAGGGAGAGGAGTACTAGATCATTGGTATTGCTTACACATGGCACACAAGCACTCGCACATTTATTGCTCAAGCACTCTCACACATACCTCTTACCCTTCATCTCAAATCTTTTACTAAGTGCAAGCTCACTTTTCTCTACCTACTCTTGTCAGTGCGACACTGAAGTCTCTTTCAGTGAATACTGATCTACCAGTATCTTTGCACTCATCTGTTTGCACAAGATTTATTAGTATTTCCGTCTGTTATTTGAACCTATTTTCCGATCTTTCTTGTCTATCTCCCTTGTCTGTAGTATTTCCAACCCTTTTTACGGTCATTCTTGAGCTGTTTTGTTAAATGAAGTAAATTCCCCGTCAGTACTTGAATAAGGTCCTTGCCATTGCCATTGGTTTGGTGCGTGTTGGACGAGCTTTGCTGGTACGCAATTTGGACAGATCAAGACCTATGCTCTGTCTAAAACCGAGAAAGGGGCTTGGTTTTAGTAAAACCAATTTTTCCCAACCAATTCTCAACTAAAACTTTTCTTCAAACGAGAGAAAAGGCCAGTGCCAGAACGCCAATAGTAGTAGTAAGGTAATGGCCGCCATGATGCGTACGTCTTTGAGATGTTTCAATTTGTGGGTTTTAATAAAAGCAAAAGAAGGTGAGGCCTAAACCACACACATATTAATCTTAGGCTTGGGGTTGGTCTGTATTTTTCGTCAGCGACCACACCAGATTGGCAGAACTGCGCTCTCCAGCCGACCGCGACACGTTGCCACATGCAAGCACACTTCCAGCAAAGCGACACATCCGTTGGTACTAAAGTCCTTCATGCAGCTGTTTCGAGAATAAAACTCTCGTTAGTGAGGGTAGACATTGTAGAATGGCTAAGATAGTGAAAATCACACAGGCTTTTGCACTGAAAGGGGTAAGCATAATGCGCGCGCCTGGAAGATTAGGGCTACGCAAAAGAACCATTGGCATTGTGCAAAGCGCTCTGGAAGGTCTATTAAATATGACTCTATATTTTTCGGACTAACAAACGCACACCGCCTAAACCTCCACAGCCATCAAGAACTTCGTGCGAGTCATGCACACCATGTAGATTAGTAAGGCTTTTCGAATAATCATTCCGTGCCGCGTATGTCAGAAAGCGATGAGATGATTGGCTGACAGTGACAGTTGCTGGTGCCAACTATCTCCCATTGATATGCCTGCTTTTGCGGTTTCAAGTTGGCTCGGAGTCTTGTATTGTGGCTAGCACTTCAGTGCGGTACTGATCTTGAAATAAAATAAAATAATTTTACTTAGCCGTTGTTTTCGGGCGTTTGCTGGCGACCACACAGCTGCATTTACCAGTTTACAAGCATGGGCCGGGCCGACGGTTCTGCCTGACCGGCTGAGGTTGATGTGACAAGCCGCGGTGGAATCTAGCTACGTAAGAGTTAGATCTATACGATTATGACACTTCTCCCGTCCGATCCTTCGACCGCACTCCATAAAAAAAGACAGGCACAAGAATGCCAGTGAGTCAGTCCACTGACAGTCTGTGCCAGTGTGTATTTCTACCATGAATATTTGAATAGCTCTCATCATGACTGCATTCCGTGTAGGTGCCAGCACTGCTTGGATCGGAGCCGCTGATAGGCTAGCGTTGGCAGCACGATCGGGGGCGTCCATGACGATGGAGCACAAAAACACCTCGACGCGCCGACTGCGCGCCAGAATCACTTGCGGGAGGTCATCAAATTCTCTTCGTGAGTTTCTCTAGTCTTGAGTACTAAGAAATCTCCTTCCCTTCCTTCTCGAAGCCTTCTTCTTCAACAACCAACAATGGTGAGTTTCGTAGGATAGGTGTTGGAATCTTACATACGATTATCTATGTCTTCTAACGGGGGGAGAAGGTGGCAGTTTACCGGCTTCACCTAAGCTTTGACCTATGCTCGCTACTGCCTGAAGCGGCACGAGTCAACTGAGCTCCGATCCAGTCATACGATACCCTGGGACATAAAGCCTAGTTCACATTCGACGGGGCGCGACGGGACGCGATGTAAGGATCGACGGGAAGCGACGCCACGGGAGGGTTTGACGGCGTCCAATGTGATCACCAGGAACGGTAACGCAACCAGGGAGTTGTACAATACCATTTTTATTGTACAACTCCCTGAACGCAACCGTGTACCATGGTGTACGGATCGGGAAGCGATGGGAAGAGTCAGTTGGATCAGTTCAACTACCGCAGTACTGGGTATTCATACAGTCATGAGTAGACGCGCGTAGATGGGGACGGAAGCGTACAAAACTGCAGCATTTGGAGTGTGAACAGGAGACGGCGTCGTGCACCGACTACTCCCGATTCGTACTTGGACATTTTTAGCATTTCGAACTCCCATGATAACTCGCAGAATCGCTAACGTTATAACACGACTTGAGTTTAATTTTAGCTACATAAGATCTCAGGTCACTTATTGTATTTAGGGATAGTTCAGGGCGTGACAGACGAACTGTTTTATAATTTCCTGGTGCTATTATTTGAATGGAACAACTTTCAGGGCTACTTTTTTGTCTTCATGAAAAACTGGCATTGTGGACTTGATTCCGCTTCACTCAAGGAGAAATAATTGAAAAGAAGTCCCGAAAAACAAGAAAATAATAATTAGGCCCGAAAGTCAACCCGTCCCGGACTGTGCCTTATGACTCGCGCCGTTTGCTGTTGAACATCGCAACGACTGCTGCATGTCGTGTCGTACGAATCGTCCAAGATTTCACAGCAGTCTCCCTTTGCTAGCACAGTTAAACCTCTTTAGCACGAACCTCAAGGGACCGATGGTACCGGTATTGATTTTGTTCGCTAAAACGGGAGTTCTTCTGGTCTTCGTACACCACGGTACACTGTCATCGCACAACGATTATTTTATCCAATACCGTTTGTCTCTTTCAATCAAACCAGTCAATAGAGTTTGAATACTAGTTCTTCTAAAGCAAAAGTTTGTCTTAACCGTGTCCTTTGTAACAAGGTTTCACTGCAGTAGTACAGTAGAAGTACTTGCCCAGATAATACATAACAGACACAATAACAATTACATGTTCGCAAGCTCTTTCCACTTCATTTCAGACAGATCATCAGATACGAGTATGTCATTGTACTATTTCCGAACACTTTTATGGATCTCCTTACTGGTTTTGCGAATCTCCAAGGAAATTTCTAAAAACACTATTGTATTTTCAAGTTAGATCGCGGAACTCTAGTTTGTCCTCCAACACACCAGAACAAAATGTTGAACTAGCTACACTGCAGCATGGTTAGACACAGGGTCTAGGTGCTCGAATAGAATCATCAGTCACTTTGTCCTGTGTTTTTTCTTGTTCACTGGTGACTTTGTTTCTTATTGCCTGTTGACTTTGTTTCCTGTAGCGTGAAGTAATCTCCATCCATGTTGGCCAGGCTGGCGTCCAGATGGGCAATGCCTGCTGGGAGTTGTACTGCCTTGAGCATGGCATCCAGCCTGACGGACAAATGCCGTCCGACAAGACTGTTGGAGGTGGCGACGACTCCTTCAACACCTTCTTCAGCGAGACGGGTGCTGGCAAGCACGTTCCCCGTGCCGTCATGGTTGACTTGGAGCCAACTGTTATTGGTGAGTGGTTCTTAGAAGACCCATACTGCTTACTACTCTTGGTGGCATATACTACGCCATGCCAGAGTGTCAAACCCATCATGTAATCATGATCTCTGATGATGTAAATTCCTATGCCATGTTATTCAAGCGTGGTGCTTTGGGGATAAGGTTGGAGTGAAAAGGAGTTTTGATGAAACCGGGTGGTGAAACAAAATGTAGCTGGATAGAAGGGTGCATCCTGTGACCGGCCTGAAGGAACGGCTGAGATCAAGTGAGCTGCAGCCATGGTAACAGAAGGGCGTAACATAATTTATTTGCTGTGCTGCTGTAGTTGGGAAGGAAGCACCACGCGTCAGTTCACAGTCTAACGGAATATGATCGTTTTAAACAATCACAGTACGACTCTCCCAAAATACAGTACTGGTACTAATCCGTTGATCCCCGAGCTGCAGAGATGCAGAGATGCAGAGATGATTGCCTAACGGCATGAAACTCAGAGTTACAACCAACCTGAACGTCCTCCGCTGAGTCTGCTATGTTACTGGTACTAACAAAACTTTTCTCTAATGTATTGTTTCTTGTGCATATGTGTGCATGTGTGTGTATGTGTGTCTGCATCTACGAATGTCCTTTCATGGTACAGACGAGGTGCGTACCGGTACCTACCGTCAGCTCTTCCACCCCGAGCAACTGATTTCGGGCAAGGAGGATGCCGCCAACAACTATGCTCGCGGTCACTACACCGTCGGAAAGGACGTCATTGACATTGTCCTGGACCGCTGTCGCAAACTGGCTGACCAGTGTACCGGTCTGCAGGGTTTCCTCATCTTCCATTCGTTCGGTGGTGGTACCGGCTCTGGATTTGCTTCTCTGCTTATGGAGCGTCTCTCCGTGGACTACGGAAAGAAGAGCAAGCTGGAGTTTGCCATCTACCCAGCCCCTCAGGTAAATGTCATGAGCTGTACTGTAAAAGATTTGCAGTGAATGAGTAGGAAAGGAAACGCTAAATCATTGTATTGGACAGTATTGTAGCAGTCCGCAATGACCATATTGAACACGAATGTCTCTGATTTGATGCAAACCCAAAACATTTCCACTTTTAAAGGATTACCAAAAATCTTCTCGCATCTTTTCTTGATAATTATGTCCTTTTCTAACTACTTTGCATTCTTCGTGCAGATTTCTTCGGCTGTGGTTGAGCCCTACAACAGTGTACTGACCACTCACACCACACTGGAGCATTCTGACTGCGCCTTCATGGTTGACAATGAAGCCACCTACGACATCTGCCGTCGCAACTTGGACATTGAGCGCCCCACTTACACCAACCTGAACCGCATGATCGCTCAGGTGGTCTCCTCTATCACTGGTAGGTCACTTGAAGTGCAGAGCAATCATAACAGGTGCTCATGTACGTCAACAATGGTATTACATTATTTAGTATTTACCCTTCACTGGCCAGTCTCCAAGTGGTGATATCTTGCGGGTCGATTGTAGGGTAGGAGATCCTGACAGAATTGATCAGTGATTAACATCAACTGCACACTGTTTCTTGTGATTGCTTCACAGCTTCCCTGCGATTTGACGGTGCATTGAACGTGGACTTGACTGAGTTCCAGACCAACTTGGTGCCATACCCACGTATCCACTTCCCACTGGTCACATATGCTCCCATCATCAGCGCCGAGAAGGCCTACCACGAGCAGCTGAGTGTCAGCGAGATCACCAACTCCTGCTTTGAGCCGGCCAACCAGATGGTGAAGTGCGACCCACGTCACGGCAAGTACATGGCCTGTTGCCTACTGTACCGTGGTGATGTTGTGCCCAAGGATGTCAATGCATCCATTGCCACCATCAAGACAAAGCGTACCATCCAGTTTGTCGACTGGTGCCCAACTGGTTTCAAGGTGAGCTTTGATTTACCTTTTTTCCTGAGTCAGCCGCTATTTGAACACCCGTAATTCCACCCCAAAAGTCAGTGCGGTTGATACTACGGAATAATGGCTTTTACAGCATACTACGATGGTCAAGTGAATGGTGATGTACATACAGGGTAGATGCCTGTACTTCGTGACAAAACTGATCTGGGTGCGGCTCATACTCCGGAAATACAGAAATGAGATTTGGATAATTGAGAGAATGATGAACGTACGTTGGTACATGCTTGTACATGTGCAATGGCCACTATGATGCGGGTCTCCTCCATGGGAGCTATGACAACATGTCTCTATTGCTATTTTTACTTGTGTATTCTCCTTATCCCAGGTCGGTATCAACTACCAGCCGCCAACTGTTGTACCCGGTGGTGACTTGGCCAAGGTACAGCGTGCCGTCTGCATGTTGTCCAACACCACTGCCATTGCTGAGGCATGGGCTCGTCTGGATCACAAGTTTGATCTGATGTACGCCAAGCGTGCCTTTGTCCATTGGTATGTTGGTGAGGGTATGGAGGAAGGTGAATTCTCTGAGGCTCGTGAAGATCTTGCTGCCCTCGAGAAGGACTATGAAGAGGTCGGTGTCGACACTGCTGATGGCGAGGGTGAAGGCGAGGGTGAGGGAGAGGAGTACTAGATCATTAGTATTGCTCACACGTGGCCTTCAAACACACAATACTTTACTATTGAAGTAAATGCTCACTTTTCTCTACCTGCTCTTGTCAGTTTGACATTGCACCTACTCTCTTTCAGTCATCTCCCCGTGTATCCGCATTCGTTTGGCTTGTGCAAGCACAAGATCTGCTAGTACATGTACCATTTTTGCCCTTTGTTATTTCTAGCCTTCTTTTCTATTTTTCACTTAACACTTTTCAAGCTTATACTAGTATTAAGACTTAGTGATCACTAGGATGATGCAAATTTTTTTGCTGACCGCCTATCGAGGGTAACTTGTGCGTTATCTTGCATGAAAGTAGTTCGTTGCCGGTCAGGGTAACCATGGTAACTGAAATGGTACTTCACACTACACTACAGTGTACCTGTGTAGCTATCTAACAGGAAAGGTGAGAACTGGACAGGCAACTCCACCGTCACAGTGATTGCATTGCAGCCCGTAACTGCAGTGATTCCCCGGCCTGTACTAGTATGACTGAAGCATCCCGGTCTCCGCTCCAAGATGAGGCGATAGCATGCCATTGAGGCGATAGCATGCCATTGAGAAAAATGGTACCTGAACCGAGAAAGAAACACGTGGCCAAGGGTGACGGAAAGAGGCAGAGTAACCATAGCAACAGGAGATTGTTGTTGTTGTTGTTGTTGTTGTTAGATAATGGAGGTAAACTGCAAGCAAATAGTTTGTGCCCATATAATAGACTTCAACCAGCTCACGAATATTTTAAAACACTTTCTCATGCCGGGTACCCCGGGTCGAGCCTCGAGGATCGTTATTTTGCAAGGTCCTGACCTTGGGCTAGCTTAGGTTAATAATACTAATAATCTTTATTTCAGGATTACCCAAAGGCTAACGCCTATCTGGGGGATCTCCTATTTGTGTATGTACTAGTAACATAGTTAAGGATGCGAGAGAAAGTGCGCAAAGTGAGTGTGAAATGTTGGTTTGAAAAAGGAATAATAAGAAACACAAGGAAAGAAAGTAAGACAGAAAAGAAAAGAAAAAGGATGTAAATCAATGATTGCACATCAAAGGTGTACCAGTGCAGTCGAACTGATACTTAGCAATGTGAATACGTAAATGACGCTTGAATTCAGATAGGGAATGATTCAATCTAAAGTTGTCAATCGGGGTGGAAGACAATTCTAAAGAGAACCAGTTTTCTGTAGGAAAAGGGATGAAAAATACGACCATGTGAGTTAAAAATGAGCTTTTTGGGCCTACGGGCACTACGTGATATGGTTATCGCAAAGCGAGAGAGATATTCTGGGTGGAAATTGATGTACTTAAATAAAACAACAAGAGAAATAAAGATACGGCGAAACTGCAGAGATTCTAAGTGACACAATCTATTCAAATTGGATTTTGATTCATAGATATCAAAGGTTATTTTTGCAGACTTCAGAAGTCGCCGGCAAACCTTGGCCTGGAGTACATCAAGGGACTCTAACTGAGCGGATGTGATCCTAAATGACCAGACAGGGATGGCATATTCAATTGCCGGAAGCACATAAGACTTATACAAGAGGAGAATATGGGACGATGGTAAATGTCTGCCCATGAAACACAACAGGTTGACTCGTTGCTGAAACTTCCTGAAGATGGTGTGGAAGTGGTCATGGAACTTCAAACCATCACTGAGCTGTACGCCGAGATGCTTAGCAGAACGTCCAAAGGCAATAGGAACGCCGTCCATTAAAACAGAGGAGTCAGGAATGTCATGATTCGAAAAGATGAAAGTTTTTTCTGGAGAAAATTTCCCATGGATATTCTGAGCCTGGCCAGATCCTGCTGGAGGTGGGACATGTTCTCATCTAAGGAGAGGGATACATTATGAGCATTTAGAAGAGTGACATCATCAGCAAAGAGAAAGGGTGAGGTGTGGTTTACTATGTCAGGAAGGGAATTGATATACAAAAGAAAAGGGGAGGGGCAAGGTACGAACCCTGGGGAACACCACAATTTAGCATATATTGGGAAGAGTGAGTTCCATCCAGCTTCACATTTAGACTACGGTCAAGCAAGTAGGACCCAAACCAGGCGTGTGCCTCTGGTGCCATGAATGCATTCATGTGGTGCAGGAGCGTAGGATGATGTACTTTATCAAACGCTTTCTGGAAGTCGAGAAATGCACAGTCAAATCTCTGGCCTCTATCAGAGAGACGGGCAATCTGATGGGTCAAAAGAATGAGTTGATCCGTAGCTGATCGTTGTGGGATGTAGTCTATCTACAATAGTGCTGCATGAGCAAATTTTCGACATACCACATAACAGTCCTTGCCAACCATAACCATGATAACAGTCACTGCCAATGATTGTTCTGTCGTATGTCAAAAAGCCCTGCGTACTAGTACTAGTAATTGTCCCGTCCGCCTCCTCCGGCCTCCTCTGCTCGACGTAGATACTAAGATAGATAGAGTCAAGCACACTCTACACTGACTGTCTGTACTAGAGACCTTGATAATGATAGACGCCGGGCACGAGATAAGTCAGAGCAGCTGAGAGCACTAGCGCTATAGCTGCCATACCAGTGAGTCATCTACCCAAATGCGCAGACGGATCCGTCCGATGACTGTCTGGCCTGCGTCACGTCGTGTGTTTTTGACAGACACTTTGACATACACACAGTCTGTGTGGACTGTGGGTGCGAGAGGCTGGTGCTGTGTAGACAGTCTGTAGTGTAGGCTTGCAAGCTTGCCTGCTAGATCTACGACCCGGCTTCCATGGCAATGATGGCGCATGGCGATGGAGCGCCACATAAACGCCTTGACGCGCTCAGCGCGCTCTAGAATCACTTGCGGGAGGCCATCAAATTCTCTTTGCGAGTTTCTTCCGACTGCTGGACTAAGAAATCTCCTTCCCTTCTTCTTCGAAGCATTCTTCTTCAACAACCGACAATGGTGAGTTTCGTAGGATAAGTGTTGGAATCTTACGTACGATTACCTATGTCTTCTAACGGGGGAGAGGTGGCACCCAGGCATTGGCCTCTGCTCGCTAATCATGACTTGCTAGTACAAAATAATAGTAATCGTGGTAATGGAGGCGCGGGCTGTTCAAACTAGTTGCATGACTTCTGCGCCACGATTTGCCTGGCTTCGCAGTTCAGCTCCAGTCCAGTCCTACCAGTTCCGGTAGTACTCTAAGACGGTAGAAACATTATGATGTGGGGATTGGCTACGCTTGATGTACTCTAAGACGGTAGAAACATTATGATGTGGGGATTGGCTACGCTTGATCCTACTTAGTGGTCTTGGTAAATCCCTGTACATGGTAAGGGGCCGGCGAAAGCGTAAGGCCGCGGTCACACCGAGCTCGATTCAGCCGTTCAGCCGAAACAAGCGCTTGTTTACGTCATTATTACCATGGAAATGGCTGAAAAATGTCCTACAAGCGACTTTCAGCCGTGGCTGACTCTCAGCCGTTTTTTCCGGCTTGTTTCAGCCACAGCTTGTACAAGCGGCTGAAAGCCGAAATTCAAAAAAGAATTTGAGTGCGCTTGGAGCACACCATGTAGCTAGTTGACATGATGAACTGATATTGATGTTCTTTCTTGTGTCCGTGGAACCGTGCTATCCCTGCGCCTTTGGTTTTGACCGTGAGTCTGTCTATCCAACTACACTGTATTCAGTTTGATTTGGATTTTTCCGACGACCATGGATTTCTGCCGCTGTGCCTCTAGACTGCTGCGTAGATTGTTGGAGCTGTGGTTTGAGGCCAAGACAAGGCACCACACTCACGACCGAATTCATGAAGAAAGCCGGGTACGAAGAAGAGATTGGATTGCAACTGAGTTGAAGAACGGCAACCGGCGGGGCAGAAAGCTCGACATCAGGAAACACCACCCGAACCATCGCGTCCATGCACACCGAACAAATAAAAAGAGCACGACTTCGCAATTCAGAATCCGGGCTTCCTTTGCTTCTTCATCAAAACTGAACACAAGAACAAGTATAGTTTTAGATCGCGAACGTTCTGCTTTCCGGTTTCTTGCAAACATTGGTGTGCTTCGAGATATTCAAAATTTGGCGGGTAAGAAAAACAAGCCATTCAAGCTTTGCAGTCAAGGTCTGGTGTGACCGCGTCACAGGGACCACACAAGCCAGCTGAGCGCCAGCGATAACAAGCCCAAAGTGGCTTGTTTCGGTGTGACCGGGGCCTAAAAGAACCTTGAGTTATTTTCATTGCACATCGTCTTTTTTTCTTCATCTTTGACAAATCAAAACTACATTCACCTGAAGGCGAATGTTCACGTATGCTTCCCCTAGCTCCTATATTATGGGATTCCAGATTGCTCAAAGTGTTCATCCCTGCACCAAGCCAAGGAGAGGTTAGTACAGTGCTGCTCAATGAAATCCGGTCGCGTCACTCAAGTTAGCCGCCTTGCACCATTCCGCAGCCCAGTGTTCGCAGGGCTATGGTTGCACAACGCCCGATGCGTACTTAGAGTGACGCGACTGGATTTCATTGAGCAACACTGTACTTGTATATGATGTATTTGATGATATATACGTCCAGCCGCATTCGTGCCACTTCCACGCCCAGGGTGAAGCTCCTCCATGTAGCTAACCCTAATCAGCCACTTTGTCCATTGGGCTTCAATGATGGTTTTCTCTTGTTGCCTGTTGACTTTGTTTCCTGTAGCGTGAAGTAATCTCCATCCATGTTGGCCAGGCTGGCGTCCAGATGGGCAATGCCTGCTGGGAGTTGTACTGCCTTGAGCATGGCATCCAGCCTGACGGACAAATGCCGTCCGACAAGACTGTTGGAGGTGGCGACGACTCCTTCAACACCTTCTTCAGCGAGACTGGCGCTGGCAAGCACGTTCCCCGCACAGTCATGGTCGACTTGGAGCCAACTGTTATTGGTAAGTGCTTCTGACGGCACCTATTAAACTGCAGTTGAGAGTACATATGAAACCAGACAGGAATACATCGATCTCCAGTTTGCTGCATTGATATCCTATGATATACAGCCGTGGTGCTTTAGGGATCAGATCATTTAGGGTGGCGGCCAGGATTGAGCTAAAGGAGTAGTGACTAAAGGAAAGTGCTTAGAAGAGCGCCGTCTGCTACGTGAATGTAACCGAGACAACCAGGGCGCTGTGCTAGAATGACACGTAATACTAGAAGGAGCACAGCCTGCCAACTATTTGTATCCTGGAAGGCTTACCTGGCTTCTTGGTTCTTACTTTCTTAGTCCCCCAGCTGTGCCAATCCCCGTTCACCAATGCTCGTTGCAGGTGCCCTTGTGTCCTGCAAACCCCTGTGTGCCCAATGGAGTCAAGGTGACAGTTGCCGCATGGTGTGTTCAGACTTGGAATCTACTGTCGTGGACATGGAACTCCGGTCGAATGACTCGGGGCCGGCGCCCTCAGTACGTAGAGAACGTTGCATGCAGTGCATGTGTTGATCGTATGCGTACTCATGGCTGCATGGCCAGCGGACTGGGCCGCTTGACCTCCGACCGGATTTCCATATCCACGACAGTATGACAGTACACGTATCGACATGTGATGGCGAGACATGTACAAGTGGAGGAAGCAAAAGGCACCATTGCGGCTGCTTGTGGAGATTTTGCATCATCAACCTGTATTGCCATGGTTCCAGTGTGAGTACGGAAAACTGACTTCAGTAACATGATGTCATGTTTAATGAACATGTTGGATGTGGTATGCTTAGACGTGTGGCATATGCTTGAGATAATATTGCATGTTGATTAGTGTATGTGTGTGTGTGTATTTTCCCCTCGCGCGGGCGCGCTCTCGTGTGTGTGTCGAAAGGCTGCCTTCTTGCCAAATCATTTGGACTAATTTCGGCTACTCGATCCAGTGTGGCGCTACTGTATAGCTTTCATGGCTGAGAATGCTGGTGTATGTATTGGCTCCGGGTTGGCACTACTTACTTGCCGAGCATGGCGGGTAGAGTAACTCCAATATCACACTGCAAGGTACATGTATGTGTGTGTGTATGTGTGTGTGTGTGTATGTTGTGACTGTTTTCACTGTAGCAAAGTGCTGTCTTTACTAGCTGCCTACCTAAGCAAGTACAGGATGTGCATACCGCAGGGTACATAATACTGATTAAAATATTGTTTTCGTTAACTTTGCTAGGTATCCCGAGTTACATGGGCCCAATCAAATTCCGTACCAAAACGTATACACATGCAAGCTGTGCTTAAGTAGACAAGTATCTCGGCCTCACCAAATGCGATTGAAAACAAAGTGTTCCAAATCGATTCTAACAAAATATTTCTCTAATCGACACCTTGAAATAGTCCCCAAAACCTTTCATGTGGTGTCCAATGACTAGTTAGGTGCATGTATACGTGGGCTCACATAGCGTCACAAGTTATGCATGAACGGTGTGTGCTATTGCTGCTCAAAGAGAAAACCAGTGTGTAGATAGTGACTGCACTTCCGATTTTGTATACTTTCTTGGAGTACATGAAACTGATGATGGTGGTGATGTGCATTTTCATGTGTGTTTGTGTGTGTGTGTATATGTGTGTGTGTGTGTGTGTGTGTGTGTGTGTGTGTGTGTGTGTGTGTGTGTGTGTGTGTGTGTGTGTGCATGTGTGTGTGTGTGCTTGTACGTGCACGTGCGCTCATGGTACAGATGAGGTGCGTACCGGTACCTATCGTCAGCTCTTCCACCCTGAGCAATTAATTACAGGCAAAGAGGATGCCGCCAACAACTATGCTCGCGGTCACTACACCGTCGGAAAGGACATTATTGACATTGTTCTCGACCGTTGTCGCAAACTGGCTGACCAGTGTACCGGTCTGCAGGGTTTCCTCATCTTCCATTCGTTCGGTGGTGGTACCGGCTCTGGATTTGCTTCTCTGCTTATGGAGCGTCTCTCCGTGGACTACGGAAAGAAGAGCAAGCTGGAGTTTGCCATCTACCCAGCCCCTCAGGTAAATGTCATGAGCTGTACTGCAACAAATAATAGAGGATGAACAGGAAACACTGCATGATTCCAAAGACCAGAATCCACCAATACTGTTTGTGGACGTGCAAACCTTTTTTTAGTTATTAAAAAAATTAACCCGTTCCAGCTGTAAAACATCTTTCCTAAGTTCCGTCCTTTTGCAATTACTTTGCATTCTTCGTGCAGATTTCTTCCGCTGTGGTTGAGCCCTACAACAGTGTACTGACCACTCACACCACACTGGAGCATTCTGACTGCGCCTTCATGGTTGACAACGAAGCCACCTATGACATCTGCCGTCGCAACCTGGACATCCAGCGCCCGACTTACACCAATCTGAACCGCATGATCGCTCAGGTGGTCTCCTCTATCACTGGTAGGTCGCTTGGAGTATAGGGTGAAGTTGAAAAGTGGGAACGCTTGTAGGAATGGTATCACAGGAATACCCACGCACCACTGGCAGTCTTCAGGTCTGGAAACCGTGTAGCTGATTTGTACTCACTTTGTAGGAGCAGTCTACATAGATCATGTCTCTATGAATCAATTCGGCTTAACATCAACTGTACACTGTTTCTTGTGATTGCTTCGCAGCTTCCCTGCGATTTGATGGTGCATTGAACGTGGACTTGACTGAGTTCCAGACCAACTTGGTGCCATACCCACGTATTCACTTCCCACTGGTCACATATGCTCCCATCATCAGCGCCGAGAAGGCCTACCACGAGCAGCTGAGTGTCAGCGAGATCACCAACTCCTGCTTTGAGCCGGCCAACCAGATGGTGAAGTGCGACCCACGTCACGGCAAGTACATGGCCTGTTGCCTACTGTACCGTGGTGATGTTGTGCCCAAGGATGTCAACGCATCCATTGCCACCATCAAGACAAAGCGTACCATCCAGTTTGTCGACTGGTGCCCAACTGGTTTCAAGGTGAGCTATGGGAACTTGGAAAGGAAGCATACAATGAAAAGTACATTTTAATACAGTAGAAGATGCAGAGAATAAATACTTGAGACAATGATCTGCGAACATGTGCCATGGGCTCTGTGATACGGGTACAAAGTGCATTTGAAAACCGTTTTTACCTATTGCTATTTCTACTTGTGTGTTATTTGCATCCCAGGTCGGTATCAACTACCAGCCACCAACTGTTGTACCCGGTGGTGACTTGGCCAAGGTACAGCGTGCCGTCTGCATGTTGTCCAACACCACTGCCATTGCTGAGGCATGGGCTCGTCTGGATCACAAGTTTGATCTGATGTACGCCAAGCGTGCCTTTGTCCATTGGTATGTTGGTGAGGGTATGGAGGAAGGTGAATTCTCTGAGGCTCGTGAAGATCTTGCTGCCCTCGAGAAGGACTATGAAGAGGTCGGTGTCGACACTGCTGATGGCGAGGGTGAAGGCGAGGGTGAGGGAGAGGAGTACTAGATCATTGGTATTAATCACACAGGCGCTCACTTTCTCACGTATCCATCGATCTGATATGACGTCGTTCATACTTCAAACACACTCTACACGATTGTTTTGCTATTGAAGTACAAGCTCACTCTCAAACTGTATGAAATACAAGTTGAAACTCTCTTTCATGATCACCTGGGTTTTCTACATCATATTCTTTTGCATACGATCTATTATACTGGTCAACTGTTCTATGCTACACATTATGCCGGATATGGACTATCTTTACTTTCACACATTGGTCAAAAAGTCACGGTTGTATTCTACAAATAGTATTCTAGTCTGCATTATTTCAAATCCATTGTAATGTCATTCGTAAACAGTGATGCTGGATGAACTAAATCAGGTATCAGTGGTATTTCGATGAGAACTACTAGGGCATTGGATTAGTGGAAGCTGAATTGCTTGAAACTGTTCAATGCATGCATGCCCTACACACACATAAACAGAAATTATTAATTTCAATAGAAACAAGGAAAACGGTGGGGCACAAGTTAGTTATGTGTTAGAGTCCACCAACTAAACCAGATTTTTGAACAGTCAGATGTGCACAAGGTAGCACCAGACTGACAAGGAGTACTGAGACATTCCACGGCAAGTCTGGTGCTACCTTGTGCACATCTGACTGTTCAAAACCTGGTTTAGTTGGTGGACTCTAACGCATAACTTGTGCCCCACCGTTTTCCTTGTTTCTATTTAATATTTTCCTTGGCTCACCATCTGAGTACTTAGTAGTTTCACTTCACAGAATGTAGACAAGATAGCAGAAATGTCCCCGTCCTACACTGCATGAAGCTCCTACGAAATTGAAACACATGTGCTTCAGTAAACAGTGGCTGCTGTGGGGTTTGTTGCTTAACTGAGAAGCATGGCGCATTCTCACTCCAGCCAGCAGCTAAGGCCGCGGTCACACCAAGCGCGATTCAGCCATTCAGCGGAAAAAAGCGCTTTTTGACGTCATCGTCGCTACGGAAACGGCTGAATTTTCGGCTTCAGCCTTTTTCAGCAGTCAGCCGTTTTCAAAGCGCTGAATGGGAGCGCTGAATGGATTCAGCCACTTTCAGCCATTCTGGCGCAGTACAGTGGCGGGAAAAATAAACTCGTTCAAAGCGCATCTTGGCGTGATCTTGCAGCTTGCATCGTGTTCTGCCACCTTCCGGCTTTCGTTGTTGGTGAAACTTCTCTCCTTGCCTTTTTGTCGGTCATCATGGAATCCTGGACAGTAGCACTGGAGCGGCGACTACTGGAGCTTTGGTTTGAAACAAAAACCAAGTATGAGACCACTATGAAAAAAAGTACCAGAAAGAGAGCGTGGATCTTGGACGAACTGAAGAAGTGTGCTGGATCATGGAGAAGGCGGACGGGAAAACAAGAGAAAATCATATTCAAAAATGAGCAGGAAGAAAAAAAACTCTTGCACACAAAAAGTCCAGCCGATTTCGCGAAGTGGTGTGACCAACCACCCCATTCAGCACAAGCCACTTTCAGCGCAAGCGGGAAACGGCTTGTTTGGTGTGACCGCGGCCTAAACACGGGTCGTTGAAATGTTCTGGCTCTACCAGAACTCCTATTTCCAACAACAGTGCAGCAAAAATAGTTAAAAAAATAAGCATGAAACATGGCAGCATACAGAAAACAGAAAAGGGAGCCGACGACAAAGAAGTGAAGATCATATGAACGCAGAAGGAAGAGGAGTATTACTGCCAGCAGTAGCACTATCCTGTTCTCCACGCCCAAGCACAGCGCAACAATTGATAGCATAAATAGGAGAGCAGCATTCAATCAAAGGTCCAGCTGCCATGTCGAAGCTACCACAGTAGCAGGACAGCCGCACCAGGCAGACAGGCAGGATGAAGAAATGCAGCAACATTATTCACTCTGCACATGCACTGGTACAATACCTAGGAGCCATACCCTATAAGGATACTGCTAGCATGGGACTGGAAAATCCTGGCAATCACCCACACAGAGCAGTGCTTGAACAGCAGAGCAGTGCTTGAACAGCAGCAGTTCAATGCAGTTCAGTGCACAGACCAGCCAGCACACACTGGGAGCAAAGCCAGCACTGACTGTGGAGTGTGTGTACATATGAGCTACTACTGGCTCAAATGTGGCAGCTGTGCACAGCTTGCTAGTCTGAATGCTCAGTCTGTGCTGATGTCTAGAATAAATAAGTGTGCTAAAGCAGCTGGCTTGCATCATGCCAACCACCACTGGCCATGGACTCCGGTAAGGAATGGTGCCTGACCGCTGACACCAGCACCCTCTTTTCCACTGGCGAGGCTATGCCATGTCTAAGTACCACCGGGGTCCCGCTAGGCTTCACACAGGTGTACACTATTCAGCTATTGCATTAGTGTGGTATGTGGGTGATAACGTTATCTCTAGCCTGCCCAGCCTGTCCAGGCTGTATTCATCCAAATGAGTGACTGGAGTGTATGTCCACACAGGCATACCGCTGATTCAGCCGTTGCACTGGTGTTGCAAGTGGTTGATGTCTCCAGCCTGCTCAGCCGGGTATTGGTATTCACTCACACAAGTGAACAGAGCACCCCCACACATGGACGGCAGTGCAGCCCAGCCGTTGAGGTGCAACCCAGTTCGTACCAGCGAATATGCCAGGTCTTCCACCAGCACAGACCACAGCACACGAACAATGGGTTCGCTCCGCACCTTCTCCGGAGCTATGTTGTTAACAGAATCGTACGCACTGTGCAGGCAATGCGACTCACAGGACATCTCCACCGTGAAAGAGCATTGAGTTGACAACTTGCTTCTGAACATCGGGTGTTACCGCCACGTAGTGAGAGAACGTCATGGAGTAGGATGCCAGGCCAGAGGTTTGCCGACGGATGTGGCTGGCATACCCCTGATCAAGACAAGCAAGAAAGGAATGCAACCCAAGGGAAACCAAGCGAAACATGAAATTCCATTGCAAGAAACCTTGCAAACATGACTACTCTGCCTGCTCCCATAGCTACTATTCTATGAGATTCGAGAGAGAGTGAGCGAGAGAGTGTGAGAGAAAGAGAGAGAGAGAGTGTGTGTGTGTGTGTGTGTGTGTGTGTGTGTGTGTGTGTGTGTGTGTGTGTGTGTGTGTGTGTGTGTGTGTGAGAGAGAGAGAGAGAGAGAGAGAGTGAGAAAGAAAAAGAGAGAGAAAGAGAGAGAGATCGAGAGAGAGCGCGCTCTCTCTCTCTCTCCCATTCTCTCTCTCTGTCTCTGTCTCTGTCTCTGTCTCTCTCTCTCTCTCTCTCACACACACACACACACACTTGTACTTGTTGCTCACTGCCAAAACTGGTCACGTGGGTCTCCCCGGGAGAGGGGAGAGAGACTCAAAAGGAATCTTGGAAAGGTGACTCAATTGGCTATTGAACCGCCCAACGGCCAACACCCCCTGAAGTCCCCAAAACTCTGGGCGGACTTGAAAATGATCCCACTTATGGGCTCACCCCACCTCAGTAAGTGGGTGAGGACAAGGTGTAGAAAAAGGATTGACGGCATCAGGGTATCCGTCCTGGGATCCAACTGCAGTTACCCCTGCCCCCAGTGAAGGTAATACTTGCTACTAGTGTGGGTGGCTAAATCAGAGTGAATCCGATATAAGCTTCACTAGCACCATTGATTACACAAGAGTTAAAGGGGAAGTATACCCTAAAATCAAATTTTCACCAGTTGTAGTCCTCGGGGTGCTGAGTCGAATGGTCTTGGTCCGAGGAAGCTGAGACGCTCCCTTCCTACTTGAATCCCAATCGAACTCGCGCACTTCCACCGAAACTGGGTGACTGCGCCCTACTAGATGGGGATTTGTATGCAAAATGTCACTAAAAGCGCCATTTCGTTCTTATAAAAGCACGGATGACCGCGATTGGCCCATATGTTGTAGTCTTTTGGACGCTGAGTCGACTGGTTTTGGTTCGAAAAGGCTGCGATGCAGCGTTCCTCCTTTATTCCCAATCGAACATGGTTGAACAAGCGGTCACGTGCTCCTGCGTACACCAGTCACCTGGTCACCGTGCCTGCAGGGTACAACTTACTAGCCTGTTTGACCTTTTTTGGGTGCAGTCCTGTCACTCGAGTTGAACTCGAGTTGAACCTTGGTGTGAAAGTTGTCGCCTGCTGGCGCGGTGACCACGTGATTTGGGCACCCAGGAGCACGTGACCGCTTGTTCAACCATGTTCGATTGGGAATAAAGGAGGAACGCTGCATCGCAGCCTTTTCGGACCAAAACCAGTCGACTCAGCGTCCAAAAGACTACAACATATGGGCCAATCGCGGTCATCCGTGCTTTTATAAGAACGAAATGGCGCTTTTCAGGGGCGTACGCCGCTCGCCTCCAGGAGTGGTTCCCATGCCAACTGATGGACCAACATTCTTCACAATTGAAGTGCTGTTTTTCGTATCCCACGGAGTTTCTGCATATTCTCCTCAGACTGGGTGAAATTAACATCCACAAGCTCCTGGAAGATGTCATTGCTACGCATTTTTGATTTTACGTTTTATGGATGTTTTGTTCAGCATGACGATTGCATGCAGTTTTGAAAGCTGCCTAAGTTTCGAATCATCTGGAACAAACATCACACAGGGCAAGCAGAAGCCACCATTGCACGCCGGTCAAAAGACTACCCAGGGTAACTCCTCTAATAACAAAGATAGTTGAAAGTGACGCTGTTTGCCATCCGTCTGGACACGCACAGGAAATGAAATCCTTCGCCTTCGGTGGCGCACAATGATTATCGATGACGGAAATCTTTTCCGTGTCCGGCAAATTTCGGGGAACTGGATTCCACTGTGGACGTCGACGTTCAGAATATCCCTTCCAACACACTCCCATGTCACTGAAGTAGGTTTTGGATGATCTAGCAGCTTCCAACAACGGTCGCTCTACAGCTTCGCCGACAATTTCTTCCGCAGCGCTGCTCGTTGCATCCAGACTTCGCTTGCAAGTCAGGTGCGTCTGCATTCTCATCTATGGCTTGACCTTCGCCACTAGCACTGGCTACATGCTTTGCCTGCTGCTTAAAATAGCTCTGAATAGAGCTCTGGCCCTCTGGATGTCGACGCTTCATTTTTCTTTTCCATAAAGCGAAAGCATCGTCCAAAACACGACCAACTTTGTCAAAACAAACTGCAAAGGAAAATTTGACTCTGAGATCGAGGAATCCGGCGATGTACCTAGAGACTTTGTTGAACCCAGTTCAATACGCTGTTATCACTTTCACACCTGGGCTACAGTCACCGTCCTCGGACCGTCAGGCGGACTCCATGGATCCAGTCATGCACTGCATGCACTTGCACTAGTGTACTGCGAGCGCTGGGCCTGGATCAAAAACTTCTCCGTACCCATATCGAAGTTTTTTTACTGGTTCCCGGGCATCCCGGGAACCGCCCTATGTACGCCCCTGCTTTTAGTGACATTTTGCATACAAATCCCCATCTAGTAGGGCGCAGTCACCCAGTTTCGGTGGAAGTGCGCGAGTTCGATTGGGATTCAAGTAGGAAGGGAGCGTCGCAGCTTCCTCGGACCAAGACCATTCGACTCAGCACCCAGAAGACTACAACTGGTGAAAATTTGATTTTAGGATATACTTCCCCTTTAATCTAGCCAGAAGCAATCCAGGGTTAACAGGTATGTATACTTCAAATAGAAAGTATATGAACCCTGGAACCAACAAAGGTGGCAGGTACAACATTACACCTTCACAGCATATATCCGCAAGTTGTCTGAAGACCAGAAGGGCAGAGTACCGTAAAGTACCGTTGATCCGCCCCCCACGCCATGTTGCTTCTCAGCTGGGTTTTCGGCAGGGGGCGGGAATTAGATCAAGGCTGTCAAGTGCAGTACGATGTACAACAACGTAGAAGTTCAGACTCGATGTGCTGGATTGTGCACATTTTCATCCTGGATTGGCAAATATTGTGTACAGCAGTGCATGCGTCGGTTCAACATCGTATTTTCGTTGTATACGCATAAGTCGCTTCACAGGTAGAAAATCGACAGGGGGCGGGAATTAGAGAGGGGGCGGATCAACGGTACTTTACGGTACATTCGGTGGGCAACACCATCAATGGCCAGACACACGCACGCATGCACGCACGCACGCACACACACACACATATCAGTTACAACCTCGTACTTACCCGGAGAGTGTCCAGTGGGGCATACGCAGTCAGCACATTACCATCGATATCGTCCTCGATAATACCGTCAACAACACCACGCCGTGGGCCAGTCATGTCACCCAAAACAGTTGTGAAATGGTTGGGAGGTAGGACAATCTAAAAACCGTACACAACACAACCAGTCGACTGTAACATGGAGACCGCTTGTACATGATAAATAAATCTATAGAATCAGGTGTACGAACATGCCTAATGAAATTCATACAAGCACTTTTTTCTTTTCTTTGCGCAATGTCGCTCTCAGATGGCAGCAGCAGTGGCGGATCCTATAAGGCTAAGGGTGCGTTCTTAAATCCCCTCGGAAAGGTTTGAGACTCTCGGAAAAGTGCAAGAAGTGTTCTTATTGTCTCTCAGAATAATTAGGAGATTCTCCAAAGCTCTCCAAGCTCTCCGAACTTCAGAGGTGGTTGAAACTCGGAGATTCCCGCGTTTTGGGATCAGCGCACGCGAACTACTACAAAAGCCACGTGTTGATCATGAGTGTACAACATTCCCTCTTGCATACGCACCGTGCGTACTACAGTGCGGCTCAATGAAATCCAGTCGCGTCGCTCAACTTTGCGCCTTGCATCATTTCGCAGCCCAGTGTTCGCAGGTCCAGGGCTGCGCAACGCCCGGCGAGTACTTGAATGACGCGACTGGATTTCATTGAGCAACACTGCACATTTGTGTCACTCAAGATCGCGGCCCCTTTGGCGTTTCAGATGTGGAAAAGATCTCCGAATTCTTCGAGACCCGTTCCGAAATTATTCTAGTTTCTTCGACTTCTAGGAGAAATTTCTCTGAGAAGCCAGAGAAAAATAAGAACGCACCCTAATTCTTGTGACTCCTGCCCAGAGAAAAATAAGAACGCACCCTACTTCTTGTGACTCCTGCCCAGAGAAACGCCACGCAAAACTGGTTCACATCCAGGAACAAGCTGCCAACCTCGTGTCCTCTGGGCCTGATGGTTGCGGCGGCGAAATAGCAAGAGCTTGAATCGAGTGCTGCCGAAACTGGTGCAGGAGATTTGGGAGACCATTGTGAGGGAGGTGCTCACCTTGCTCCAGCTTCAGCTGGAAAGTTTAGTGAAGGCCACCATTGAAACATGCTGCTCAGGCTTGGGGTTTGGAGAAAGCTACTACCACTTCCCCGACAATCATTTTGCACTCCGTCGTCACCACTCGACGGAGGACGCCATCACCATCGCCGTTGACAGCCTTCTCACGGCCATAGGCAACAGCCAGCATTGTGGCCTAGTCTTAGTGGACATGAGTAAGGCCTTTGACAAAGTCAACCATCAAGCGATAGTGAAGGAGCTCCACGATATTGGGATCGGCTCAGTTGCACTCGATTGGCTCGTCGATTACCTCAAGGACATACAGCAGAGAGTGGGCCTGCGGTGTCCCACAAGGCAGCGTCTTGGGGCCTGCAATTTTCTCCCTCTATACGAAGGTGAAATTTCATTACCATCCATGACCAACTCTGCCAACATGGCTCCAACGCAACGCAAACTTCCATCAACGCGAAGGCGTTCATAAACAAATTTACCGCTCATGCACCCCTGCATCAATACTATTTTAAAGCCGGAGTGACACCGTATATGCACGCAATGGCGTATCACGCCCCAGAGAGGCTGACGTGTCTATCATCAAGACAAACATGCCCTACCAGTCGTGGTGTCCAAAGTTGCCACCTTTCTAGCTGACAAGGGGTTGATTCTCGCGAAGGCGTTCATCAACAAATTTACCGCTCTTGCACCCCTGCATCAATGCTATGTTAAAGCCGGAGTGACGCCATACATGCACGCAATGGCGTATCACGCCCCGGAGAGGCTGACGTGTCTATCATCAAGAAAAATAAATAATGCCGAAAGTTTGAGGTCGGATGCAGATTTTGTAGCTCCAGTCGATGCGGAATTTTCCTGGTTTGTGCTAAGCGGCCGTGCGCCTGTCGAACGTGCCTGATGCAGAGTAGTGGACGGTGTTGCCGGTGCAACGGCAAATCCACCTGTGTCAGATGTGAATGCACCAAGGCTGGCCGCCATTGCACAAACTGCTATCCCTCGGCGAAGGATCGTTGCCAAAATCGAGCACCAACACCCAGGCCCCTCACGACAGTTGAGGAGGCCCGTACAGCCGCAGGTAGTACTAGTAGTTTTGAAGCTGATGTTCGTACCGTAGTCGACCGTACGGTAGTGCAGGGTATGCAGACCCCCAGGAAGGCAACAACAGCTGAGGAGATTGCCTCAGCTGCGCTCTCCGCGGCGCTGTCGACGACTCCTGTCTCGGTATCGAGCTCCCAGCAAAACGGCAAAAAATTGACTTTGGTGAAAATTTAAATTGTTGTTGCAATTTCATGCAATTTCATTATTCAATTTTGTAATTGACGCACTTACAATCCACTAAAAAAAAACACCAGAAATAATCCCTGAAATAAAAAAATTAAAAAATCATCAAGACAACCATGCCCTATCAGTCGTGGTGTCCAAAGTTGCCACCTTTCTAGCTGACAAAAACGCAACCAGTACAAGTACAACAGCCTGCTGCAGCAGATAACAGCGCTAGGTTGCTCAGTGCGCCGGTGCACTACTCACAGGTACAGGATTACACATGTTCATACCCCAGTACTATGCAACCCCAAATAGACCCAGGCACTCAGGTCACGACGTACTACGAAAACCGGTCGAAGCGCTCAGACCAACTGCAGGGAAGGTCCCGTACGAAATGTTGTGCTTAGTATGTGGGCAACTTCATTAGTGGGTGCACATCAGAATTCAAGATTCAAGACTACAGTCTCTCATGACCAAGGACCACCAGTATTTTCGCCACATCCACTAGACATGGGCGACCAACAGCCTCTGATGAAACCATCTCTGTTATACGAGGAAACTCAGCACCATTTTTCGCCTACAATTCTCATCAACACTGGGCCGTCTACGGTCCCTTGAGCGCTTCTTCCCCCCTCTCCCATCGATGTATGGACTATCCCCCCCCCCCCCCTCTCCCATCGATGCATCTACTATGCTCCCCCCCCCCCCCCTTCTCTCATCGATACATTGACTATCCCCCCCCCCCCCCCTCTCCCATCAATGCATAGACTATCTGCTGACCCCAATCGGCGAGGTAGATCACTCCATCTGCACACTACCTAGCCTGTTTTTGTAATTGATGCTGTTCCTCCGTTTTTGCCGGGTTGTGCTCACTGATAAAAAATAATTTATAATACTTTAAACTTCCCTTATTTCCTTGCCCTAGCACTCAAGCTGGTTCCAAAGAGAAACAAATATGCTGCCATGTGCGATCAGCATAACACAATTTTTTTCTTTAATTAATTGCATATTTGCTCTTGGTCCTTGATTGGCTTCAACCTCACTTCCTTGTATTGGCTATTTTCATTATGTGCCATGAACTGCAGACATTAACCTTTTGAGCCCGGGCCCATTGAAAACCTCTGCCACGCAGTAAAATTTTTAATTCACTCTATGTGAGCAAACTTGATTTCAAACAATTCTTTCATGTATCCTGAGCACAGAACTGTTTTTGTTTTGGAAATACGACAAAGATTACAAAAGTTATGACCGTTTTCATAAAGGTAGCTATACGCGAAATTGGTATTTTGAAATGTATGCACGCGCATTTAACTCCAGTTCAAACTTACGGAGCGACTCGCATATTTTTTTACGGTACTCGTACATCCTAGGAGTCCTCTGTGCAGCGATACAGCTCGACGCCACGCCACGGAAGAAACGCGGTATCGATGTAGTTCCGTACTGACTCGTGACGTTGTAGAGCGTCACGCGTGTCACAGTGGCAGTGGTCATGACGTGTCAGAACGTCACGTGTGCTCAAAAGGTTAAATTAATAATTAAAAAATAAAAATAAAATAACACTGCGTACCGCTGAATGTCGCAAAACGCACGTCGCAGGAGTTAACCCAGCAACTTTTGCAATGGTGCACCTGCGCAAACTTTCCGAGGAGATTTCAGCAAGACAGGTGACTTGCACTTGAGACATTGGATTGTTGCACAGACAGAATTTCCGAAGTTGAAACTTGTTGTAGAAATCCACGCCGGACAAAAATCTGTACAAAGCCGAATGCTGCTGCTCACCCTAGTTTAAAACGTGCCGTGAAATTGCAAAAAGTGGGTCATGAATAATTTAGGGCAAACATTAGCTGGCATTACCTGCAGATGCATAACTGGCTCCAACAAACGAATTTCTGCACTGGCCATAGCCTGTGAAAAGCAAACAAGGTAAATGCAAGAAATAGCAACTGTTACAGACACTTGCACATGAATTCACAATTATTGTATTTGCTCGTTCGAATTTATTAATTAAATTATTTTGTATTTTGTTTCTCTCACCTTTCACTATTCCCGAGTTGATCACGTACGTGCGTGCTCCACTCTGTTGCAGTTAGAGGCAGCTACTCTACATGCAGTCGAGTCGATTCTATTGTGTATCTGCATGTCTCCTTGATAATATCTGTCCAGCTCTAAATAATTAGAATTAAATTCCTTCTCTCTTCTCTCCCGCTTCTTCTCTTCGATTTATTTATTTTCGCTTCTCTCAGTTATTTCAGTTTTATTCCACTTTGTAAAGAACAAGAACAAGTAATGGTTCGAAGGAAATCTTGTCTACCATGGCCACAGGGCCGCAACATGGTCCTTCGAGCCGGATGAGCAGTTCTAAAGAAATATACAGTCTTCAGATTACAGAAACACAGCAATGTTGCTGCGAAATCGTAGAGGTAAGGGCGAAACGGATATGGCCGATGTCGCCGAGCAGGCTGCTGAGCTGGAGTTGCCAGCATCCCCTGCCTCACTCGCCTCATCGATGAGATCGTCCTCCTCCGTGAAACGGCAAAAAGCGGAGGCCAATTAAATTTGGAGATGGCACGACGTTTGATGGCAATTGAGGAGGCGGAGGCGCAAGAACGACTGGATAGGCAGAGGCGTTTGCTTCAATTGGAGTTGGAGGCGCGCCATGCCCAAATCGAAAACACCTCGTCCTCTCGTTCGCGACGATCGTCTCGTCCTGCATCCAGTGCGCCGACTCAGCATTTGAGGCCGTTGTTGGCATTGTCGACTACCCGATCAGCAGCGTCGTTGATCAGCTCTGGCCAGGAGAATGAAGTAGAAGTAAGCTCATCTCAGCCCCGATTAGAAACAGTGTGTAAACTTCCGGGAAAGTCCGCCTTGACAGCTACTACCAGTCAAGTGTCAGTCAGTTCGGCAGGAAACGCGAGCTCGAGCTCCAACAACAAGTCGTTTGGCGCAGCCACCTTCTTTGTCTTGTACATGTACCACTACCAGCGTGATCACCAAAACAATGAAAAAATCAAAATCAAGAAAAAATATTTGACTTGAAGATTTGTTGGGATTTGAACTCACAACTTCATGGTCAGCAGACAGCATGCATAACCACAAGGCCAAAAAGGAAGGGATAAATCGTGGGTTTTGATAACAAATCGATACTGGCTTCCAGGGCAAATTATAAACCATGGGAAAAAGGCCAGAAACCTGGCCGAAATACTAACTCCTTAACGGTTGGTCCAATTGTTTCGAAACCTTCACAGAACAATTTGCCGTGCCCTAACAAGCCGTTTTATGTACTTTGTTGTCCAAATTTCCCTTATCTTCATACTTTTTAAGACCCAAACTTGATTGCTAATCTTTTTGAAACAGACTGTATACAGGCATTGGGTAGAGACCCAGAAACCCGGCACTGCACACGCCACACTTGCGCTAGTTGCGGCAGGGACAACAGCAACAAAGCCAGCTCAGGAGAGTCCTGAGGCTGGAGGCCTGCACCCAGCGCAAGCAGCAAACGGCATGCAGAAGTTTCTGATCCGACAGACGGTTGGTCGTGACTTGCCGGCGTTCTCTGGCGACTCGGAGGAGTGGCCCATATTCGCCTCGACCTACCAGAGGACGTCAGACGAGTGTGGGTAGCCATGACATCAGCTTGCGAGTGTTTTCTTTGTGGCTGGCGGACAAGGCTGAAGCAGCTGTGCGCGTCATGGATCTGCCGGGTACCCGAACCGACAAGACGCAGCGGGTGTACAGTCACCAGGAAGTTTCGACAGTATACAGCACAGCAGCAGCGACGGCACCAGCAAGTGCAGCCAGTAAGAAGCAGTCAGCCTGCCTTTGCTGCAAACAAGTGCAGCATGCCCTCCGCGAGTGTTCAGCATTCAAGAAGCTTGGCCAGAAAGCCCGTTTTGAGCTGGTCAAACGTCACCGTCTTTGTTTTTCTTGCCTGACCAGTGGACACACTACCAGGGAGTGTGGCAGCAGGAAGCAGTGCAGTACCACCATCATGTGCTCCTGCACAAGGGCAAGGCTGCAGAGAAGCCAGTTGACACTTGTGGGCACACCGGTATTCCTGGTACAACCCGAGTACTGCTGCGAGTTTTGCCAGTGACGTTAGTGGCCCAAAGGGTTGTGTGGAGACACTTGCTCTGCTGGACGAAGCCTCAACTGTCACGCTAATGGACAAGGCCTTAGCGGATGACATAGGTGCTGTTGGACAGTCGGATCCCCTGCATATGGCATGGACGAATTCGACGACGCACACAGACAACTCGTCATGCAGAGTCTCTGTATTTGGTCAATGGCAGCGATGGCACCCAGCATCAACTGGATGATGTGAGAACAGCCAAGGACCTCAAGTTGCATTCACAGTCAATGGATGGCAGAGGGCTGGCGAGGCGATGGCCTCATTTAGATGACTCCAGAGTGGCGTCATACCCAGCAGTACAACCGAGGATGCTCATTGGGCAAGACAATGGACACCTCACAGTGGCACGTGAAGTCGTCGAAGGCCCGCCAAATGCACCTATGCTGACGAGAACCCTTCTTGGTTGGGTAGTGCACGGTCGCATTGGAGCTCGGACTCACCAAGATCAACTCGAGCCGGAGGCGCTCTACCACATCTCGCAGCCTGAGTCGGATGAGTGCATCGACACGACCGAAGTGAAGAAAGAGTTTGTTGCGGCGGCAACATCCCTGCCAAGGCCCCAGCAAATTGCCAAAGCGCTGCCTGACGTCAACCGTTTCTCGTCATGGAAACGTCTCATCTGCACAACCGCGTATGTTGCCAGGTTCATCGCAAACACACGGGCCAGAGTTCGCGGACAAACTGTCGAATCAACCGCAGCCATCTCAGCCAAGGAAATGGATGCGGCCGAGCAGCTCTGGATGAAATCTGTGCAGGCAGAGTGTTTTGCCGAAAAAGTGGCATTGTTGAGCGATGGCCAGCCTGTCAGCACCAGCAGTCGTCTACGACACCTAGCACCAACCATTGATGAGGACGGGATCCTGCGGGTTCAGGGTCGCCTCACACATGCAACGGAAATGGCGTACAGTGCGAAACATCCGGCTATCCTGTGTCCGAAGCATAGGTACACACAGCTCCTAGTCCATGAATACCATCTGCGTTCTGGCCATCATGGACACGAGAGGACATTGAATGAGCTTCGCCAGCAGTACTGGGTGACGGCAGGTCGAGCAGCTGTGAAGCGAGCATGGTCTGAGTGTCAATACTGCAAGAACCAACGAGCCAATCCCAAGCCACCTGTAATGGGAAATCTACCTGTCCAGCGCTTGACCCCGTTCCTGCGACCATTCATGTTCACCGAGCAGGACGGGACACCGTCACTAGCTGTAGGTGATGTCGTGATGGTCGTCGACAGCAACCAGCCACGAGGGCAGTGGTCTCGGGGCCGACTAGAGGCTGTACACCCGGGCAGTGATGGCGTTGTGCGAGTGGCAGATGTCCGCACCAAGTCTGGACTGTACCGGCAACCAGTTGTCAAGCTCGCGAAGCTGGACGTGCTGCGCTAAGTTTATTTGTGATTTGTAACAGGTCATCGGTTCCCTGTTACCAGGGGGAGAATGATACAGACACTTGCACATGAATTCACAATTATTGTATTTGCTCGTTCGAATTTATTTGTATTTTGTTTCTCTCACCTTTCACCATTCCCGAGTTGATCACGTACGTGCGTGCTCCACTCTGCTGCAGTTAGAGGCAGCTACTCTACATGCAGTCGAGTCGATTCTATTGTGTATCTGCATGTCTCCTTGATAATATCTGTCCAGCTGTAAATAATTAGAATTAAATTCCTTCTCTCTTCTCTCCCGCTTCTTCTCTTCGATTTATTTATTTTCGCTTCTCTCAGTTATTTTCGTTTTGTTTGTACTTTGTACGCTATCGCTCAATCTGCATGGCGCGATGCAGTTTATGGATGTCGTCACTCCTTGGGGCGCAGTGCACCGGATGCGCAGTGACCTCTACGATGTACGCCAGAGCTAGGCATGTTTTTTTGGCTGCATGTTTCCTTTTGCGCTGCCAGCTTTTCTGTTTTGAAGCTATATGTACGCGTGTCGCTCTTTGCTTTTCAGAACTCTTTGAGTTTCAGTTTTATTCCACTTTGTAAAGAACAAGAACAAGTAATGGTTCGAAGGAAATCTTGTCTACCATGGCCACAGGGCCGCAACAGCAACGATAATCAGCTTTATAAATGCATGCATCCAACTGCACATGCATCAATATGCGTGCGCACACGTACACACACGCACACATGCACATACACACACGTGCGTGCGCACACACACACACACGCCCACGCATACACTGCGAGCACCCACCCAGCAACCATAGCAGAATGTATGACACATGTACAGAAGATCACACATGATGAGCAGTTGGTGGCTATAGCACAGCAGCACAATGGTGGACACACATGCACGTTTGGGACATCATGCAGCGCACCATGACAGGGTTGATGTTTCCGTGTGGCACCAGAGCCAATCACTGTCTTTACATCTTGCATGCATTGTAGTGTCCGGTTTGGAGATAATGAAGATCACTTCATGTAAATAAAGCCACTAAACCACTAAACCACTAAACCTGCTTCAGCACATAGAGAACAGCACATAGAGAACAGCACATAGAGAGCAGCACATAGAGTACAGCACATAGAGAACAGCACATAGAGAACAGCACATAGAGAACAGCACATAGAGAACAGCACATAGAGTACAGCACATAGAGAACAGCACATAGAGAACAGCACATAGAGAACAGCACATAGAGAACAGCACATAGAGAACAGCACATAGAGAACAGCACATAGAGAACAGCACATAGAGAACAGCACATAGAGTACAGCACATAGAGAACAGCACATAGAGTACAGCACATAGAGAACAGCACATAGAGAACAGCA